GCTGAAGCTGCACATCAACTGCACATCAAAGCCTTCTGGGACTCGTCAGCTCATGCTTACACCGTCATATGCGCGCTACGCGCTCGCCGCAGACTCCTGAGCCCAGACACGACACAGACTTTGTATGCATCCCTGGGGAGCGCTTGCCACAAAGCATGAATCCTATCCGTCGCATTTGGATACTCAAAGTGGTAGCAAAGCCCATGAAGCGGCTTGTGCCACTCAGTCCCTCTCGATGCTTGCTATCTTCATTCCATGCCTCTGCCGTCTGTCGACCTTCGACGTATCTGGAGCTTGTTGGCAGTTCGTTTAACGATTGAAGGCTTCATATATATATATATATACATACATACATACATAGATACATACATACATACATGTTCCGAAGAACGTGGCTGATGAGTTATGACCAGCTTTCAGATCCCTTCAGGTTTGCTTTCCGATTCTCTTTGTACACTTCGCAACGGCTATCCGCACGGATGATTATGCTGACTTGCAGGACCTGCAGCATAATTTAATCCCTATGCACACCCTCCCATAGGCTCGGTTACTGAAAACAATGAGCAAAGTAAGCATCAAAACCATATTATTGAGAAAGCGCGCTTCATGTCAATATAATGTTTTCAGGCCTCCAGGGCTCACAGCGGAAGCGGGAAAGTTGGAAGATGGTTTACCGAGATTGGCGCATGGTGCAAGACATCTAGCCAACTTTGGGTTTAGCTTAGGGTGGTACATCAGGAACAAACAACATGCCTTCCTTCGACTGCTCAACATGCCGGACCACGGGCAAAATGCTTTACCCCAACTACTGGCAGGGTTCAGAAACAGCTCAGGGCTTGGTGGAATTACCTTCTTCTAAACTACCCAGACCAACCGTACAAACGCATTGAGAACTACGCCTGCCATGCTTTGCCCCAAGTACTGCCAGGACACAGGTACACTCGACGGCATGGTGGAATGGCTTTCCCCTAAGTACTGGCGTCTCCAGGACAAAGCGTGGACATTTTTTCACACGAGTACTGGCTGAATGATCGTTTTCCCCAAGTACTGGCGTTTCCAGGTCGCACCATCAAAGTTTTTCCCACCAAGTAAATGTAGAAAAAAACTGTCCAGTCCAACGGCGGAAAGGTTTCCCCAAGGAAAACCGGGATTCGAGGGAACGGTGGAATTACTTTCCCCCAAGTACTGGCATCTCCAGGACGCGCCGTGTGAAAGTATATTTCCCCACTTTCCACAAGCACTGGCGTCTCCAGGACGCACCGTGTTCCTTCCCCCAAGTACTGGCAGAAATACGACCGACACAGAAAACGGCGGATCCGGGGATGCGGGGGTGCGGGGTTGCCCTTCCCGGGATGCGGGGTTGCAGGGTGCTGCCAGGCAAGAAATGCAGTGCCTGCCAAGCAGAATTGAGTTGGAAGATCGCACCAAAAGGCTTTCTCTTTTTGGAGACCATGCGGGGTGCCGGACTGCCCAGAACGGAAAGTTGGAAGGTTGGATTTCAGGTCCAAGCGCGCCGCAACGCATTTTTCAACTTTCCGGCTTCCACCACATATGTATGTATATATATATATATATGTGCTTCCGAAATTTCAATACAGACGCAATCCAAAATCAGTATCAAGATCGCTCCATGCCATATGGCATGTAGCTTAAACCCCCCTAAATACGAAACCCAAACCCCGCAGCAGAACCCTAGGCCCGGGTTCGGCCCCTTCTCGGACCACAGGACCGGTACGGGTAGCGTTCGAACCCAGGCCTTGGTCATTTCCCTGGTCCCTGCAGCATTGGCACGTCTGCCACTCAAAGAGCTTTGAACTACAGATGCTTGGCCACTCTGTACTTGATACAGACAGGTGCTAGCATCTTGTGCGGGGCGTTGCTAGACAAACACGACTGAACAAGAGCCGTCACACTGCCCACCATACTTTCACCGGAATAGCACCATGGAGCCTTGGGCCTGAGCCATCGTGCTTCCTCCGCGATGTGCCCTGAGCAGTGCAACTTGGTTCGTATGGGCCACCTCTTCTAGTCCTTAACGGAGTACAGCTGTGGCAGGGCAGCAAAAAGGAACTGCAAACTGGTGGCCGTTCTGTTTGCACAGCCTGGCTTCGGATGTAGGCAGGAATCAATCGCTCCGATCCACGATCTTGTGCATGGTGTCGAAGGCCTCAAGGCACGTCAATCTCCGCTTTTTGTACTTGTCACGGCCGGCATAGCCACGACAAAGTTCGGCTGCCACAGGGACAAGATACCGAATCTGCCTGGCTTTCGAAAGGTCTGGAAAGTTTTGCCAGGCAGCAGTGGACTACTCCAGGTGGGTGATCCGGTTCTGTTCTACGTCGAGTGTCGTAGATTTGCCGAATCTATTATGTCAACTTGTTCAACTTCTGAGCCTGTGTGCCAGACAGCTCCTTATAGCCAGTGGTTCGAAAGCACAGGGTCGGGTGTATAGCAAAGGTCTCTCCACTTGGCATTCGTCGACAAGCCTTTCTAAGGAGCATCGGTTTGGCTTGCCCTGCACCTCATACAGGGCGGCTGCATGGTGCCGCGGGCCATGCTCGTTTCGGGATGCCTTCCTTCAAAGACCGCATTCTAGGACCAGGTGTGCTATCTCCTAGAAAAAGAACGTCCAACGTCTTGCAGTTTTTCGAGAGCTGGCGCAGGCAGTTGGGATCAAAAGTAGGACAGAAGTGTTCGCACTCAGATCTGTCAAGGCAGATTTGCATTTCCAAACCATCCTTTGAACCGCGCTTCTGATGAGGCCGTGCATCTCCGCGCAGCAGAAAACGATATAAGAATTTCCGGACCACAGCACAGTCCACTTCCGCAGGCCCTGGAATCCAGTCAATATCTGGCCATGGCCCGCTAGCCGAGACAAACATCGCTTGCCGAATCGCCAAAGGCTTCAACCATGGATTTGGCGAATTCAAGCACCGAGCCAGCTGAAGCCCACGAGGATACCAGCTTGCGCCCAGCAGAGCTTGACGGGAAATCGACATTTGTTGCAACAGGATCCTCATCACCGAGAGCTCTTCGTTTATGCAGAAAAAAGTCGGAAGGCAAGACCCTGAGCTGCAAGAATGCGTCGCCTTGACGACGTTTTTGTCGGCAACTTGCTGACGGACTCGTACTTGTGGAAATGAAACGCACTTGCTGCCCCGACCTCATCCACATGATTCTTCAAGGCAAGCCTTTCTGTCTCTACCCGAGCTTTGGGTGAGATACGAGCACCACCCCTCGAAAGCTGCGCCTGGGGAGCAGCAGCTTTCTTGACCATGGGCCTGTTTTCTGTTAGACTTAAAGTGAGCACCTAGAGCAACTGAGAAGCAACTGCGAAACCCAGGAATGCAAAGCTCAGACTCGCAGCTGAGCTGTCGCACTGTTGCGTTTTCTGCAGACCTATACTGACTGGCCAACATCGCACGGCTCTGCATCAGCGGCCCTCTGACGCTTGCAAGTCCCTACGAGCAGGCAGACACTCGATGAACCCTCTCTTTCTTTTGGCAATTCCATGGAAGATGCTTCTTGCTTCTTGGACAGCACCCCTTTGTTGGGACACAGGATGACCCATCGCACGCTTGCAACTTCATCCTTGGCCTGCGATCACGAAGCCACACTGACACCCTGGCTGTCCACACCATAACGCAAGGAGCACAATAGTGATGAGTATGATGGTGCTTGTTGCGGCAGCACAAGTTCTTCATGCAAACACTACAGTAGCAACGGCAAGTTTTCGCCGTTCTTCGGAAGGCTCTGGATGGAATTGCTCAGGCGCGCAGCAGGAGGAGGAATACATGTGGCCACAGATATGCTCGAGCTGCAGACTTGCGGGTCTTACAATGGAAGCACCTGCATACATTTCATGCATGATGCACATCTTGCAGACTCTGCAGAACATACAATGGAAGCACAGCACAAACTCACTCCGAATCTTCGCATTGACCTTCAACCCAAGAAACAACTACCGTACTGCTACTGTACTACTGTACTATTAATTGGTTACTGTACTACTACTACTACTACTACTACTACTACTACTACTACTACTACTACTCACTACTACTACTACTACTACTACTACTACTACTACTACTACTACTACTACTACTACTACTACTACTACTACTACTAACAACTACTACTACTACTACTACTACTACTACTACTACTACTACTACTACTACTACTACTACTACTACTACTACTACTACTACTACTACTACTACTACTACTGTGCCACGAATATACTGCTGCACTACTACTGTACTCCTACTATACTACTGTACTACTAATTACTACTGTACTATAACTGACAGCCCCGACCCCCAAACAACTTAGACCCCTGCCCCCCAAACAACTAAAGATGATCAGGGAGGCGGGCCCCCCCCCACCAGTGCGGATTCGGGATGTTCAACGGGGAGGATTACTAATCAGGAGATCACATCAACATATTGAAGTACATGCTTCTCTTTATTGAAACTGACATAGAGTTTATGTTGAAAGTCGAGGATCGGTCGGTCGATGGCCTCGGACCCTGCGTGCGGCTTGAATTTAATTGGGTCCTTGCGGCAGGGGCCGAGGACAAGTGGTGGGACTCTCTGCAACAACGCCCATCTTCAGCGGCCCTCTTTGCTCCAGCAGCCTTCTTGGCTCTCTATACAGAAGCCTTAAGGTTTTGAATAAAGAATTGGATTCTGCTTTGCTGTTCTGAGGGCCCCGGCAGGCCGCTGCACTATGGAGGGGGCTTCTTATCCGAACTATTGCGGGGTGGGCAGCTATCGCATACCCCCCTTTAGAAAAGTTGATGGGGTGGTTGTTTTATAAGGGGTCTATATTATAAGAAACCTATAGATCCGGCAGCCGTGCAAAAAGAAGTGTTTGCAGCTTTGGCCTGGATCCCTGAAGGCTGGAGGCTTTAGGTTTCTATACAGAAGCCTTAGGCTCACGAGTGTTCAAGCTTTTCGCGACCCCTTTCTCTCTCCTTAGACTTCACTGGCGCCATGGCAGACCAATCCAAGGTGCTGGAAACAACGGCCTCGCAGCCCTCCGCGGTTTTGCTGCTGGCCTAAAGGCTCTGAGAGTTCAAGGAGCAGAGCAAAGCTCAGCCAACGACAAGACCACGGCAGCGATCGCAGCGATGCAGCAACGCATTGCCCAACATACATGACTCCCTGCTCACAGGAGGTGGCCCTTCAGTGCTGTCCACGGCAGCTCCTCGTCCAACTGCCACAAGGGTCGGCATCCTCACAGCCGGTGTCCCGTGAAGAGTGCCCGGCTATGATTAGGGAGGTTCTGCAGACAAAGGTCGGCCCAGCCCTGCAGGCAGCGTTCTCACAGGTCGGTGCCGAGCTCGTCAGCCACGCGGTGAAGATCATTACCCACGAGCACGACGTCCGGATGCTGAAGATCCGCGCGGCATGGACGGAGAAAGACCTCATGTACTCACAGATTGAGGCAGCCAAGAAAACCCTGGTGGTACGGAACTTCCCTGAATGGGCTACAGCTGCCGACCGCGAGCTCACACTGGCCGAGGCGGTGAAGGAGCACAACTTGGGCTACTTGGAGTGGGACCTGACCACCACGACCATGGAGGGCACCGGCGGCAAGAATAAGAAGTTCCTGGCCCCGATCTCCATCCTTACAGTCCAGACCTATGCCTCCAGAAAGAAGATCATGGATGCATGCTCCCTACTGGCATGAGATAAAGGACGAGGAGAAGCCGGCCGAGACCGACGAGACCAAGGAGACACAGCAGAAGGCCGAGACCACGCAGCAGGAGACCGCCACGCCGGGGTCAGCCAGCACCGATCCTCCCACAGCAGCCACCGATGCCGCGATGAAAGGAGCTGACTCACAGCCCTCACAGAAAGGGTGGGAGATGCGAACCTGGAGCTGGAACCTCCCGATCAAGATGACCCCATGGCATCACCCAATTCGAGCGTCGTCTTGGTGCACCCATGCATGCCTTGTTTCAAGAAGGAGACCCTCACACCGAGATGGAAGACCCTCATCTTGGAGGATAAAGAAGGCGCTTGGTTGGGTCGCATCCTCTACAGCCGCAAAGCTCACAGTCTCACAGGCACTGCGGGCACAGTCGCCGATTGGGCTTGCGAAGTCCAGCTCCCCGCGGAGCACAACGACCGCATCCTCACAGCCTGGAGAGATGTGTGGTATGATCAGCTCAAGCAGCAGATCTCACAGACGGAAGTGGAGAAAGAGGCATACTCCACGGCGGCCCAAAAAACATCACAGGAGTATGCTGCGGCATCCCGTCTCAACAGGTTAAAGACGAACGCGGTCCCCAGCGACAACGAGGGCGAAGAGTGGGGATCGAAAACTGGGTGGCGAGGTTCAAGTTCGAGTACCCCTGGGAGCTCACCTGCGTTGGCCTCTCACAGGACCACCCGGACCGCCAGTACTTTCAGGGACCTTCGGCAGGTAAAGGAGCCTCATGGCGGAGATGGCGGCAGACCAGGCCATGGAGACCGAGGTGACTGCCGGCGACACCCGGTTTCCTTTGCCTTACAGGGAACCTCACAGGGGCGGAACCAAGGAGCCCTACTACCCGTTCGACTCACAGGCTGAGCTCGACCAAGAGGTGGAGAACGAGACCAGATCAGCTTGGGCTACGACATCTCCAAGTACTCCACAGAGCAGACGGATTGGGTCAAGGGCAAGAAGTTGCGGCACATCGGCGCGGCAGCGGCATCGGCAGTCCTCACAGGTCGTCCTCGGCCCAGGCTTTCGGCTTGAAGTGTTGGCAGGCGCACAGGAGCCCGATCTTCCAGTACAGTGTGCTTTTTCAGTGACTCTCTCACAGAGCATACCACTGCGACCGCACAGGAGGAAGAAAGGGAGCGAAATAGTTTGATGCGTGCAAGCACGCCTCCCATAGGCGAGCCGAGTGCGCTGAGCCATCCCCAACCCTTTTCCTTTGATACCTCTCACAGTTCTGTAATGTGTTCGGGCTTTTCGGGATTGAGGAATGTGCCTTTCGGCGACGAAGTGCAAAGCAACCACCCCCCCCAACTCACAACCACACACCTCCCACTTTTCGACACCACAACCAACAGCAAACACGCTCACAGTACAGGCGAGGGCTTCGCAGCAGGGATGCCCGACAACGCCGTGCACAGCAACGTATCACACGCAGAGCAGCCCATCGGCGACACTATCGCAGCTGGCGCACGGCTCTCACACACACCACTCCCAATGTGCTGTCCCAGGGTACGGGTCCGGCGATTTCTGCAGAACCTCTTCAAGCTGAAGAGGAAACCACCACAGAACAACAGCACACCCTACCATCTTCGCACAGACAAAAGACCAGCCCCTCATAGCAGAAAGCAGTGGTAGAGCAGACACGACACACGCCACCGGCTGGTTCAAAACCCACATCGCCCAGCCCAGCAAGAATGGCAGAACCAAGCACGACGTGCAGACCACACCCCACCATCTCCTCCGTGGGGCGTTTTGGAACACCGCAAGGCTCCTCGAAGCGGCCAAATTGCACACACTCATCGACACTATGAAAAAGCACCGCGTCAGCTGGTTGGTGCTCACATAGAGCCACACGAAACAACCCGATCAATTTATGATCGAAGGTTACACCATGACTCACAGTGCCACGGAAGAATACGTCAGCAAAGGCAACCCCACCCAGACCTTCACAGGGGTTTCGCTGATCACTGCCCCACACGTCACCCCGACGATCACCGACCTCACTTGCATCGACGGCCGATTCCTTAGCTTCACCATTGACACGGTGGAAGCACCACTGAGCATATTGGCCGTCTATGCCCCCCACAACCAACGCGAACAGCAATGCCGGGACCAGTTCTGGCAATCACTTACCTCGAGGATCTCCACTCACAGAGAGAGATCCCCACTTTTGGTCGTGGGTGACTTCAATGCGCTCGCCCTCGACGAGATTGCCCTCCCTTACGCCACAGGCCCCCACTGAATTCGTCCCCGGCCAAAGCGCCGAGGAGGACGAACCAGCGGACGAAGAGGAGGGGACACCAACCAACGGCAGTTCCACGACCTCCTGGCCTCACAGGACAGCCCCACAGAACAGATACACACACAAGCGTCCCAACGGCGACTTGGTCCAACTTAACCAGCACGCCATTATACACAAAGAGTGGCGCAACATTGTCCACGACATACACACCCTCCCCGGCGCAGCCATACTACCTAGTCAAGGTGGAGCTACAGCTCCGCACAAAGGAGACCAAGCGTACCCCACCCAAACCAAGACACACCAGAACGCCCACAACGGAGCAGCGACAGCAATACAACCACCACATCAAGCAACAGCTCGGCGCCAACACCACGGATACCACTTACCCACCGCCACCACCACAGCTTCCATTCCCCCCACAGCCCCACACACCATGGAGCAGCTTGAGCATAGCGGCCTCAGCCGCCATCTCTGAGCACATCCCCACCACCACTTCGTTCCCCAAGCACCCTCGGATCACACAAGCAACCTGGCAGCTCACACAGCAAAGGTCGGCAGCGCGTCTCTCACAGAGACTGGACCTCGAAGCACAGCTCCACAAAGGCATCCGTAAACAAGCACGCAAAGACAAAACACAATGGCTGAAGGAGCGACAGGCCACCCTTGATCCACGCCAAAAATGGAAGTGGATTAAGCGATTCGCTCGGACTACAAGCCCGGACCAGTCTCAAGACGAGACTCACAGGGCAAACCAACCAGCCTTTTACAGCAAGCCCAAACCTTCGCAGAATACCTGCGAGACTCACACTGGGCAGCGCCCCCTGCGCCTTACACTGGCCCACAGACCCTTTCCACCCACCAGCAGACGTCGACCTCGCACCCATCACCATGGCGGAGCTTACCGCAGCGCTCAAAGAGCTGGCACACAACAAAGCACCGGGCCCGGACCAGCTTCCAGCCGAAGCTTGGCAATGGCTGGACGACCATAATAAGGAAGCCCTCTTAAGAGTGCTCAACCAATCACTACTCACAGCCACCATCCCCGAAGACTGGCACAAAGCAATAGTGGTCGAGATCTACAAAGACAAAGGGCCACTCACAGATCCAGCCAGCTACAGACCAATCTCACTCCTCAACACATCATACAAGCTCTTTGCAACGATTATACACACAAGACTCCAGGCGGCCCTGGATGACAGGCGACGAGAAACCCAATACGGGTTTAGAGCAACACGCTTTACTTCACAGCCCATCCACATCATCCGCAGACTTATCGAAAGAGCGGAAGCCACAGGACAATCACTTCACACCATCCTTCTCGATTGGGAGAAGGCGTTCGACACCCGGACGCCCTCCTCACAGCACTTACCCGCCATGGCGTACCACAACACTTCACTGCACTCATAAAGAACACCTACACCTCACCACAGTACACAGTGGCAGCAGCAGGCAAGCATAGCACCGAAGAAGAAGCCAGCTCAGGCATCCGACAGGGATGCCCATTGTCACCTTACCCGTTCCTCATAGTCCACGGTATGGTGATGCACGACGTCGACCAAGAGCTCACAGCCAACGGGGAATTCCTCCCCTGGCTTTACAGCCAAAACCAACCCTTTTACGACTTAGCATACGCTGATGACACAGCACTCATTGCAGGCACCGCGGTCAGAGCAGAACAACTGCTTCACATCCTGCAGCGTGTGGCCGCGCACAGCAACCTACACTGCCTACACCTCAACCTCAAAACTGCGTGCTACTGCGCTCATCTACCTCACACAACACCATCCACTTCACAGACGGCACTCCCCTCACCATAGAACAACACGCCAAGTACCTCGGGGTCACACTGAGCAGCAATGGCTCTTGCCACAAAGACGTCACCACAAGGCTCGCCAAAGCCCGCAAACACTTCCACTCGCTACACCAGTTTGGGCGCAACACCGACCTCACACTGAAGTGGAAGCCCAGAATTTATAATGCCGTTTTCATCCCATTGGTGACGTATGGCCTAGAGTCCGCAGCACTCACAGCCGGAGACTACCGCAGACTCGAAGCCTTTCACTCACAGTCACTGCGCAAAATCCTTCACTTCAAAAGCACTTACTACACTGAAGTGCTCAACCCCACAGCACGCACCTACACCAATCAGGAGGTGAGAGCACTCACCTCACAGCCTCCCCTCACTCACCACATTCACAAAGCACAGCTGAAACTTTTCGGGCACATTCTTCGATCCCATCCGAACAGTATAGAACGGAACTGCTGTTTTACACAAGCTTTTCAGTACAGAGGGGGAACAGCAGGTGCAGGTCTTAGACCAGGCAGGCGAAGGGCCCACTGGACAGAACAGCGCACTAAGTTGCTTTGGCACTGGCTTGTAAAGTCCTCCAGACCCCCAGCCTCTCACAGCCCTACTTTCCCGTACTCCTATCTACAAGCTCACAGAACAGCTGTAGACCGCCATTTTTGGAGTTCGCTAGTGAGGTTGCCAACGTGCGAGACACTCCTTGAAGCAAACTCTTATGTAGTTCTTTCACACACCCGAGTTCTTGCGGAGTCGTTGCTGAGCGAGTTGCATAGGGCCGCCCGAAAATACAGAAGCCTTATGGTTTTGAATACAAAAAGGGATTCTGCTTTGCCGTTCTGGATGGCCCCGGCAGGCCGCTGCACTATGGAGGGAGCTTTTTCCTCCGAACTATTGTGGGGTGGGCAGCTATCGTATACCCCCTTTTTAGAAAAGTTGATGGGATGTCTTTTCTATAAGGGGTTATGTTAAAAACCTGTGGATCTGGCAACCGTGCAAAACAAGGGCTTGGAGTTTTGGCCTGAATCCCTGAGGTCCTGTCTATGTCTCTCCTTTTCCAGGGCGTCACTTTGTAGTAGGAGCGTTTATTTAACAGAACCTTAGACAAATAAAACCGGGACGGGAATTACGACTATTGAGGGGGAGTTTACTATTACGTGCAGGCCGAGTTTAGCTCTATTGAGGGGCCGGGGTTGCTCCACTATTGAGTTCCGGGCCGAGTTTAGCTTTATGGAGGGGACCATTACTAATCACGAGCTCACATCAACTTTTCTAATTTCAATACAGCATTGATATGTGTTCAGGTGCATTATTAGGCTTGCGCAAAGTCAATATTGGAGATTGATGTTGCGCTAAAATCAATTTGGCATTTTTTTTCAATAACCGAGCCTCTGGGCTCTTCGACCCAGTTTGCATCTTACTTGGGGGTTGTAGCAGTCAGTGCTTTGCCTGGTGGAATTCGAAAGCTCGCCTTTGTATGAGCCGTGAGAGAGGAATCTCCGGTGTCATGTCCGAAATGTACCAAGCCGTCGCCGTGGCTCCCTGGAGTGTACGAGCTCCGTGTTGGGGGAGAGCGACACCCGGCGAGCGTGTATGTACCGTTTCTGACAGACCACCCAGATAGCGTGCACCATGCGCCGTGTCGTTGTTGGCAGCATTGGTTTTTTGAACTACCCAGCTTTGAACAGTTCTAAGGACCATTCTGGTTCCAACCAGGTGCGAGCTACACCATCAGCAGCCAATGTGGGCATCAGTTGTAGGGTTCAGAATGAACAGCTGTGGTGCCGGCGATGACGATTTTAATGATAAGCTGTGAGCCCGGAACCGCCACGCTGAACGTTGAAAACCCAGCTCAAATCGGCAATGCTTCCCAGGACCATTGTGCCCACTTCGAGTGTAGTGCCAAAGTGGTTCCGTGGATTGATGCAGCAGATCCAGTTGGGAACTCCTCCCTCATGGTATACGTGGACCCGATGCTCGAAGCCAAGCCGCCAAGAAGCATCACAAAGTTAATGTGGAATGTTTGCTTATGCGCGTTTTGGATCTTTGACAACATTTCAGCCTTGCCAAGCATGTTTTCCTGTTACAGAGTCAATCTCATTTCGCGGATGCCTCACAGAGCAGGGCGGCTGATTCAGAAGGGTGTTACACATTCAAGTTACTGCCTTGCTGCGGCTGTCAGTCACTGAGTCACGTAATGTAGACCCTCCACCACCGTCTGAGGCTTCGACAGCTCGACACAGACGTTTTTCTGTGTGAGGATTCGGGCGCAGAGGCCCGTTGCGCTTCTGGGATTTGTTGACTGAAAGATGTGCTCTGTGCGTTCTGGTACGTAGGAAGAAGGGACGGTAAAGGTGATGTTGGTTGTGCGAATCATCATGCTCGAGAATAACTGACATTAGATGTGCAGGTCACAGAGGGACGCTTTTTCTTTTTGACCGAAAGCTTTAGCGGTGAGCGACTTAGGTGAATCTGGGCCTTCTTCTTATCTGATATCTTGAACCCTAAACTTTATAACCCTAACCATGACGACCCATCCTAACCCCATAAAAAACCCACAGCACGGCAGCATCTCGCAGCCCAGGTGTGCATGCTTAGTGGAAATGTGGCAGAAGGCATCCGGGCTCTTTGGCTGAGCGAGTCGAACTGGATGGGTTTTTCTGACAACTTGGGGGCACCAAAAGGTTCAATTTTGTCATGACCCCATAAACCACCTGCTCCAAGAAGGTACCCCTGATTTCCCGAAGCTCACGGATGCTTAGCCGGGGTGTTCTGAAAGTTGTGTCTTTTTCATGGGCAATAGCGGTACAAGTGGACCCCGATTTGTCAGCTGGCTTTGGACTGCACAGAAGGCGGTGGTAGGGAAGGCGTCAACCCTGCCATGTATCCTACATTTCAGCTTCTGATGTTGTTTGTTGCTTTTGCTGCTGTGCCTTTGTGTCGTATCAGGTCATGGAGCGCATAGCCTCGCTGATGCCGTTAACGGTCTTCAAACGTTTGGCCAGCATTCAGTTGGCTGTGGACCTCCGCTGCCCTACTCCGTATTGGTTCGTGCCCTGCCGAAATTGGATATGTTCAGCAGCGCGTTCTTCGGTGCGCGTGCCCGGTTGCTGAGTGGCGCCATTGGACTTCTATCGATCCTGAGGATTTCCTGTGCCTGGTGATCTTGCTCCTGATGCTGTTGATGCTAGTGCTCGTGCCTCGAGCTAATTCGACGTTTCTTTTTGGCACTAAGAAGAAAAGATTCCTGTGACTTCGCTGGTTGAGACGCATCTCAATTGAGACCCATGATTCTGTGTGGAACGGCATTTGTCCGGTAAATAGTGGGATCGAGATTTGGTACCTTTTTTTGGGTTTTCTACACACCCAATCAGTTCTTCAAGGCGGAATACACAGTGCAATTGTTGTCCGTAGCTCCTTCACAGAGAGAGCAACAGACATCATGTACATAGAGTGTCCGTTTCTTGTTTAAACGTATAAACCTTTACACTTCACAAGCAGGTGCCACATGATCCATCGCTCATCCCTGCGTTCCAATGCCCTGCCACTTAGGCCCTTGTGCTCCCAGCGTGTTATCTTCCTGAGTGCTGATTAGGATCGCTACTCGCGGATGCTTCCCCGAACCAAGAATTCACGTTTGGAGACGGTTTCGCAATTGGTGGCTTCAGCTTTTGACGATCTTCAAGTCTCCTGCAGGTGTTGGACGCACTTTTGGCTCTAAGAGCTGCGCCGACTCCCACGGATGGCATCAAAGATCTTGAACGTTTGTGGGCTGAAGGTTGCGTGACCTGTCTTTGCTGGCAGGGTCAGACTTGGCGTTTCGAAGCGACAATGGATCAGGAAGCTCTCTGCTGTGGGTTCCTGTCGCTCGAGCGTGAACCCTCGTACAGTACGTAGTGCAACCCATCCTGAAGTGCAGCTTGAAAATTCAGTTCCCAGACCATGCTTCTCGAAATGTACTACGTTGCAGCAGCCTGAGGTGGCCTTGCAGAGCCCATGGCAGATCTTCAAAGCTGGACTTGGATGGAGCGCCTTGGAAGCATGAGCTGACATGGATGCTGTGATCTGCAGATCTGGGCCCTGCTTCTCATTCGACCCAAGGCAGGACGGGTATTACATTCCCCCATCAATGCATGGTTTGTCGTTGGAATCTCCAAAGTGAAACAGTTGAACAAGCTGCATCAAACTCTGTGCACATAGATCGAATCAGATCCTGTACCGTTTGAAACGAACTGAGAGAGAGAATCTGCCTCCATGTATGTGCTGAAATGTGCTGTGCATTAATTGACAACAAGTACACGTGTGAAGGCAGACTTGGCCTTTCTGAGGTGCGTAGACTGTCGATCACTGAGGGACAGGTTCTGATTCGATCTACACACTGTTTGAGATACAACGGTATAATGTAAGTTTTTGTGGGATTCATGCCGCAAGCAGATAGACAGACTACTTCAATACACTCGCATGTTTGCGTGTGGTTCCTTTCTGGCAGAAGGCTGGAGCCTAGTCTGGATTTGAGCAATTCTCTTTGGAAAGTTACTCTGCAGATTCATGCAGCTGTTGCTTCTCGGTCTTTTTTTCTGATGAAGCATGGGGTCCATCCTTCAGGATGCTTGTGGAGCCCAATGTCCTGTCTTGAAGGATGTCAGAACATCCAGTAGGTCCCGATAGATTTCGTTGCAGGCCCTCCAAATTATGTGAAGAAGTTTTAGCTCCCTGGAAACTTCTTGATAGAAGCAGGTGCCGGTTTCGTGGGGTGCCTTGTGACTTTGCAGACGGTCACGCTCCAGATGGTTGAGAAGTCCCTAGTGCTGATTTGAGAACGCCTTTTTGTCAGCACGTACTCTATACAGCCAAGCATTTATGTTGTTAACAGTAACTTCCGCATGCCTGGCAGGTCAGCGGTGCACGAAGTCATGATTTGGCTGATCATCTTTAGTCCCTGCGTGCTCGCGATCATGGGTCCTTGCTGGCTCATGCAAATAACCTGCCAGAAGCAACTTGCCGACCTTTTCTTGCGGCGTGGAGTAATGCTTCTACATCCAACTTCTCCCTCAGTGAACATCTGGTTGATGACCACCTTATCCACCTATGGCTGTGCAGCGATACTCAGTGTTTCGTATACCGGCAGGGAAGCAGTCTTGGTGGTTATCGTGGCGCTGTTGGGCCCTTCATGGGCATTAGTAAAGGCCCTGTCAGTGGCACGAGAAACCGCTGAACAGATGAGCTATCTGCAGTGTCGCAAGGTGAAGCTAGGAAGCCTGAGCTCAGAACTGCCAAAGCTGAGGGAGCTTGCGTGGCATGAGTTCCTCATCTGTGCTCGCAAAGAGGATTTTGAGTTCATGACATCACCTCAGCCAGAGCGGGCCAGTGATTTCAGTCATTGGGACTTGCTTTGGCATCGAAGGTGCTTGTGGCAACTCGGAGGATCAATCTCGGGTTTCCTTATCTTACCCTGCTTCGCTGCTATGATGAGCAGCTTCATTGTGATCTCCTTCGTTCACGGTACTCGTTATGCATGCTCTGTGGGTTGCATTTCCAATTTGGAACTCGCTTCAAAGTTGCACATGCTCAACTTTACGGCACATCAAAGCAAGTACATGGTTCACGTGGACATGTCCTTCAAGGAGGCCTGGCACAGGATGTGTGAAGAGGAAACCCGAAACTCGTGGCTTTTCAAACGATCGGTCCTGAACCCTCAAGCCTAAACCGAATTGAGATGCAAACATAACAGCTCTCCAGATGGCTATACTTGCCGCAGCTGACGTGCCCTGGACACGCTGGATCTCCCTCCAACAGCCGGAGACAGAAGAAGGCAGCGAGACACCCTACGAGCAGGTGGGAGTAGGTTAGGTGTGACAACCTTCGCTCGATCCGTTTCTGGTACGTGCATGTGGTTTTCCTTTTCCTGTTCGTCTTCTGCTCCTTCTTCTGCTTGTGATTCTAAATCTTGCCCGGCTGGGGTACTGTGAATTGTTATAGTGGTGTGTGGGTGGGTGCATGCGCGCACGTGTGCCGACTCTGTTGCACGCTGTGGGCCACTGTGTGTAATCTGTGTACTATTGGGGCTTGAATATAATTACCAATGCTACCTTCAGGGGTTTTCCTTGTTACTATTGTAGTATCATGGGCCATAAAAACCTATTCTAACTGTTGAGGCCCCCGTATTAGACGCGCTGCGCATGGACCTGCCAGCCCATTTGATTCGTTTCTTGAAGTTTCTTGTTTCTGACCACCAGGAGCTGAAAGAGGACAAGAGCTTTGGAATCGAACAGATTCTGCTCTCCAAGGCGCCTGGGCATCCAACGAGAGTGATGACAAACCAGAACAGATTCTAGGTAAACCTCGGCAGCCCGATGACAAGATAAGACCATCAGAAGGTTCATACGATGGCTGCACGAAATCTGCCGGGCATCCCCTGTAATGTCAACCTCCTATTAATAACCCCCCCCCCCCCCCCGTTGATTGATTTGGCGCCCGGGGTGGGGGGGATTGATTATTGAGGGGGGGGTCGGTCGTCGTAGTACAGTAGTATAGTATCACAGTAGTACAGTAGTATAGTACAGTAGCAGTACAGTAGTAGCACAGCCTCTGAGTCCAGCTCTTCCGGCGGACAAGGCACGTTTGGTAAAGTACCAGCAATGAACAATGATCCTGCGGTCCTCTCCCTCCTCCTTTGAAAGCCGAAGCTTTCGCAAGCAAGGGCATGGCTGCTATAGGTAGGTTATTCCAATCAACGACTCTGCTCCCACAGCTTGCTTTTCTTTTGAATCCAGAGCTTTCCCAATGAAGGGCTTGGCCTGTAAAGCTTGCTGTCCTTTTCAAGGCCTTTAAAGGCACCACCAAAAGGCCCTCCCCGGCGGGAGTTTATAATTGAGGGGGGTTTATAATTGCGAAGAACGGCCTTTGTTAGTACTCCATCAGGATGGATTGATTTTTGGCTCCGGGAATAAGGAACTTTATTAAGGAAGGCATGGTTTCTGAGGCCCTCTAAATCTGCGGTTTCGGAGTCCGGTGGCTTTGGAAGCTAAAGCTTTCCCAATGAAGGGCTTGGCTTCTGAAGCAAAAGGCCCTCCCCGGCGGGAGTTTATAATTGAGGGGGGTTTATAATTGCGAAGAACGGCCTTTGTTAGTACTCCATCAGGATGGATTGATTTTTGGCTCCGGGAATAAGGAATTTTATTAAGGAAGGCATGGTTTCTGAGGCCCTCTAAATCTGAGTAGCTGCAGTTTCTCTCTTTCTGCAGACCTGAAGCAGTCGTAGTAGTTGCAGTTTCTCTCTTTCTGCAGACCTCAAGCAGTCTTAGTAGCTGCAGTTTCTCTCTCTCTGCAGACCTAAAGCTCTCGCAGTAGCTGCAGTTTCTCTCTCTTTGCAGACCTCAAGCTCTCGCAGTAGCTGCAGTTTCTCTCTCTCTGCAGACCCCAAGCTCTCGGAGTAGCTGCAGTTTCTCTCTCTCTGCAGACCTCAAGCTCTCGTAGTAGCTGCAGTTTCTCTCCCTTTCTCTCTCTCACACAACAACACACAACAAGAAGTATCTAATTTCGGGGATTTGGGCCGGAAGGTTTTGTAATTGAGGGGGGGTTTATAATTGAGTTCCGGGGGTGGGGTTTTATAATTGAGGGGGGGTTTAAAAAAAGTACGTTGACATTAGAGACCTATTCTGTCTCGAAACTGTAGGGGCCCACCGTTGAGGAACCCGACGTACGGAATACGATCAGAAAGTCATGGCTGGAAAACTGCTTAATGACTGTAGAACGTGCTGTACAGTACTGGTGAAGCCAAGCTTTTTCATGCTGCCGTTGCCATGAAGCATATATCAGCAGAATGGATTCATGGCTGTGGTGGGGGCCCAGAGCATTCCTTGCCGATTTCCGTACCTGAAAACGTCACGCTGCCGTCGTGTCCGGCGTCGTGGAAAGGCGCGAGGCCACCCACGTTCAAGTTTGGGGGATATGCAACTCTGCATCGCTGTTTCTCTCACTGCTTGTGTCTACCCTCTCACTCTCGATTTTTTTGTCTGTTTGTAATGCGATGTCGTGTTTCCACTCCGAAGTTTTTTGGTTAGCCGAAAATTTAGGTTCTGCAGCGCGGCAGATCTTACTGACTATATAATATAGTCTTATTGTGACCGGCGCCGGGGCATGACACGACCGAAGCGGGAGACACAAGCATTGAACGCTCGGCAGAGAAGCCATTTCGCGGCGTGCCTCTGTCCCAGCCAGATATTTGTTGGTGCAGAGACTTTGCCCTACCTCGCCTAATGCTTCGCCGCGCCTCAGTTCAGAAAGGTGCGCCTTTCGTTCGCCTAAAAACGCAAGGCTGATTTGCAAAAAACAAGCTTACTCTGTGACCGCGTGCAAGCAAGGGACATGGTGTCAAATGTGGACGTCCTCCCAGTGAGAGCTTCAGGTAGGCGTGCGAGTATGTACTGGCAGTTACAAGCGTTGCGGATCAGCATACGTCAATCTGTTCTTGATGCGTCTGCACCAACGAGCACCACCGTTGATTTGACCGAGGCTTTGATCCCTCGAGTCAGCTCGGTGAAGGTGCAGGGCCTCAGGTCATCTTTGTCTCCAGCTGAGTATTTGGTACGCTTCGCTCCCATGCAGACTTTGCCCTCAGCAGTGACCATTAGAAGTGGCAACTACACAGCATCTTGGCTTAGCAGTGGCAGATGCAAACAAGCGTTGAAGCTTGAAGGCACTTACTTGTGTAAGACAACGCTTAGTCAGGTGACGCGCCTTGGAAATTGGAACCCTTGCTCGACTCCTCTGGTCTTCCCACATGCTGTGCTAGTTTTTCCAAAGCTCAACCTCAATCCACAAACCTTTGTATAATCCCTAAACTTGCTTAGGCTTCTGTGCCTTGGTCTATGTTGCCTGGCAGCATTGTCAGCGTGCCAGCAGGCCTGGCATGACAGCAGCTTTGGGTTCAGCGTGCAGAGTTTGGGACTACGTGAAATTTGGAAACTCACAGAATCCGCGAACAGAAAGACTGAACTTGCACTGGAGCAGAGAACCCCAAAGTGGTCTTGAACATGTCTTCGCTGCAGCATCTTGCTGATGACTGAAAGGTGCTGACATGCTGAAGCTGGAAATCTTTCTCTTGGACTTCTATTTGGACCTGCCTGCAAAGGTGGATCTCTCACCACCTCCAGAAATTCAGCAGTGGACAGCCTTTAAGGCCAGTTCCAACGCAAGTGACGCATTTTGCGGTGAATTTTGCAGGGCTCACCCAAACTGCTTGGCCGCATTCCTTGGCCACAGGGGTTGCTTCTACGCATTTCACCAGGCACAAGCTCCCCAGTCGCTGATGTTAGCGCAAGGAAGAATGGTGAGTGGAGTCCTGGAAGGATGCCGCTTATCTGAGACGTCAAACTGCAATGAAGTCTTGGCCGAGGAGAATGTTCTTCAGTTTGACAACCTGGTTGCAGACTGGCAGAGTTCTACCGCGCAGCTCAAATTAAACCTCATCCTGGAAGTTGGAGGCCAACGCTTCATATCAGACTCAGGAAGTTTGTCTCTGCGCCAGGGTGCTCCTATCGTGTCCGATTCCTTTGCATTGCTTCTGCATGACGCCAGCTCTGCAAACAATCATGGTTTTGTTTTGCCTCTTTTACCAGTGTTGTACATCCCGGAAAGCTCAATCAGACAACCAGGCCGTCAAGGAAGTGCTTGAAGCCTATTGTCCCATCCTACTTGTAGCACTCTATACAGCTTCAATATTATGGCAAAGAGTACGCCAATATACAGCTACGTACGTATCTACGGTTGATCATCTGATCATCTTGCTGATGCCTTTCCCGGGGATAGGGCTTAAAAAAAGAAACAAGGATCAACAAATGAATAAGGATCAAAAAATTAAATAAGGATCAAAAAGAATTAAAGCACCATAGACGGCAGGAAGGAAGGAAGAAAAGAAACGGCTGGAAGGAAGCAGGGCCGCCCCGCAAGCAAGCAAGCAAGAGAGAGAGAGCCCGGGGGCGCCGGCAGAGAGTGAGAGAGAGAGAGAAAGAAAGAACGAAAGAAAGAAAGGAAGACAACAAGAAAAAAAGAACGAAAGAGAGAACGAAAGAACGAAAGAGACAACGAAAGAAAGAACGCAAAAAACAAACAACAAATAAAGAAAGCAATAAAGAAAGAAAGGAAGGAAGGAAGGGAGTATGAAATGAATAAAGAACGAACAACAGAAAGAAAGACAAGGAATGAACGAGCGAAGTAAAGAAAGAAATCCTGAAGAAACACGCAAAGTGGAAAAGACGAAAGAGAAAGAACATGAAATACTCACAGAAAGACAGATACAAGCAATAGGATACTACATTGTCGAATCGAATATACCACAATATAGTAATATACCCTAACATTTTATAACATAGTGTAACCTAATATCCATATTACGTTGTATACACACACTATATTGTACTATGTTACAATGCACTACACTATAAACTATAAAATGTTGTTTTGTTCTATGTTATATTCTGTTATATTGTATATTGTTGTGTTTGGTTATGTTGTTTTATGCTATAAGAAGCAATGTTATGCTATGTCAGAAAATGTCACGCTATTTTTGTGATGTCGTACCATCTTAAGTCGTTCTTATGGTTTACTATGTTATACTATGTTAGAGTGCTAACGGAAGAAGAGACACGAACAGGCACGTAAGAACAAAAGACCCACCGCCACGCTTTTCGACGAGCCGTGCAAGCTTGATTCAAAGAGTGTTTCCGAAGCCCATCATGCGAGCGTTGTGTCTGCAAATGGGGGGGCTGCGCCCGCCCAACCTCCCCGCTGTTTTTAGCCGCGCAGGGTTGCTTTTAAGCATATGGCCTTTTGTGAAACCCATCACACTAGCATTGTGTTTGCAAATGGGGGGGGGGCTCCGCCCTTGTAGATACATGCTGAACCAGAATCGCCAAATGAGGGGGCGTGTTTAAGATACATGATGAAGCGGAATCGCCTCTGAGGGGGCGTGTTTAAGATATCGGATGAGCCGGGGCGTGTTTAAGATATAGGATGAGCCGGGGCGTGTTTAAGATATCTGAGGAACCGGAATCGCCAATGAAGGAGCGTGTTTAAGATACATTATGAACAGGAAACGCCAAATGAGAAGGCGTGTTCTAGACATGTGAGGGACCACTACTACTATTGCTACTACTACTACTACTACTACTACTACTACTACTATTACTATTACTACTACTACTACTACTGCTACTACTACTACTATTACTACTACTACTACTACTACTACTACTACTACCACTTCTACTACTTCTACTTCTACTTCTACTACTACTACAACTACTACTACTACTACTACTGCTACTGCTACTGCTACTGCTACTGGTACTGATACTGCTGCTACTACTACTACTACTACTTCTACTACTTTTACAACTACAACTACAACATACTACAACAACACTACTACCAGCAACAATTACAACACGAATTCCGTCCTAAATGTGGATTTCTCAGGAAAATTTGATTTTTCCCGAAGAATAACCAAGGTAACGTATGTTTTCCTTCTGAAAACCTGAAGAAATGACGAGAACGCCAAAGGTAAAAGGAAAATCATGTTTTCCTAGGAAAGACCAAGGAAAACTCAAGCAAATAACACGGAATCCGTAGGAAAAGCGTGTATTCCCGATGAAAAACCAAGCAAATCCTAAGGAAATGAAAGAGAATCCGCAGGAAAATAGTGTTTCCCCTTGGAAAAATTTAGGAATTGCTGTATTTACAATACTTTAATTTGCTGTTGATGCTTATTTTAACTTTTGTTGATGCCTCTGCCCCAGGATTTGCTGTATTTTAAATGATCTAACTTTTTTGATCCTTATTTTGATCCTTCCATTTTACTTTTTTTGATCCTTATTTAATTTTTTTTGATCCCTCACCCCCTTTTCCTTTCATGCTGCTTGTAGCTGCAGCCAGTCTCAGGGAGCTGTCATCTTGAACGCCTCCGTCACCGTCAACTCCGGCGATGTTGTCATATTGGTCGACGAATATGACCCCGTTGACATGGGCACCTTGAACTTAGTGGTGCTTCCAATGTTGCCGGACATGGCATCTCGGCTGTCTATGTGAGAGTTGCTTCAAAACGCGGTTACCCGAGAGGAGTGGTAATAAATCGAGATCAACAAGTTGGTAGAGATAAAGACCAAAGCTAAACAAAGATGAAATCAACACACAAGGACACAGTCCCGAGCTTTCAGAGCATCTGCACGTTTTCCTCGAAAGCGGGATCCAGCATAGAGCTTCCTCACATTTAGTCTGGAAATCGAAATCCAGCTTTAGAAACAAAGCTCTTGTCTGGAACGTCTCGAACACCAGGTTTGTTCGCTTTTGATGTCGTTCTTGATCTGTGTTGGCTTTTGTTCCCGCACCTACAAGATCAAGAGAAGGCACCCGCAAGAACTAGTACACCTCCAAAGGTATGCTCCCAGCTTTAGGACGAGGTATACCCAACACATGCACACTCATTGAAATTTCTTATGTACTCGGAAAGGATCCACAAGCATGCTTTAAGCTCAAACCGTTGTGTTTGCTGCACTTTACATCTGGAGTGTGCTAGTATGGCAGATTAGACGTTTCAGGCTGAGTAAATGACAGCAGCAAAAGAAACATGGAAACGCTAATGGTGCGGGGTAGCAAGGTCTGGAGCCCCCAGCGAGTTGCGCCAAACGGCTATGCAAGGGTTGGCATGCACGAGAGAGAGATAGAGAGAGAGAGCAAACAAGTCATAACGAACGGGTCAACTGGCTTTTCATACCAAATACCGCTAGTTACAGATGCATGCCAGGCCAAGATCAGTTACCTTCCCAGTGCTAGAAAGCCCAACAGGAACAAATTACTTGATAGGCATGCTCTTCTCATACAGACCGTGATACTCAGCCCCAGATTCGACTTGCTGCCTCTTGATTCAGCACCAGACACTCATGTTTTGTGAAGACGTCGGCATTCAACATATTGATGACCTTGATGACCGCTCCGCAACCGGTACAGACGTGCTGAGCATTGCTGGCTGAGGCCTTCAAGGTTCAGTGGACATCTGAACACACGGAGGCCGACAAGGAATCCTTGCAGCTTTTCCGTCGTCACGGCCCATGTGCTGCAAGTGCAATGGCTTTTCATCGCTATACTCTTTGCAGTGTGCAGGGCATTTTGCCGGATGTGCCTGTGAGCACCGCCGTGTCACCATGGCAGGGGAAAATGAAGCAGCCTCTGGAATTCACAGCCACTGTACGTGGTGGAGAAAAGAGCCAGGGCCAAGGCTCATGGCAAGCGCCGCTTCAGAAGGTGGAGCTTCAGTTCCGTGGTGTGGACAGCCCAGCGGCATGGGCCGCCCAACGCGGCTGCAGCATTTTGGATCTTCCACTGGCGAATAAGAGCGTGGTTGCCTCGGCTGATGCTTCTTGCCGATTGCTTGCGGAATGCCCAAGGCGGCTGTGCAAGCTTGTGGACGAGGAAGGCTTAGGCAAAGGAAGCTTGTTGTTTAATGGTCGGTGGTGGGCAAAAGGTACAAGTCTGGCTCCACGATCCATTGTTCCGCGGCCCAGTAGTCATAACGATTCGTAAGGCCTGTTGCATCTCAAGAAAAGCCTGCGGGATTGAAGCTTCAAGTTCAAACAGCATGTCATTCATGCGATCAGTATGTGGTTTTCTTCTGTTAATCCAGCTGGCAACTCATGTCAGAACCTTAGATGGTTGGAAATGGCGCGATCTCAGGTGAAGATAATGGGGTGCCTGCAACAGAGCCCCTGCAACATGACGTACTCTTGGGAGCATCGTGGTGAGAAGCTGCACTTGACAGATCATGGAGCAGAGGTGCCCATTTCTACATTGCTCGAAGAGGCCCAGCGCACAGAACCAGGCTTAAACCTCCTACGCCACATGCACATCATAGCACCGGATGAGACGAATTTTCAGGAGAGGTGCGCCAAAGCTTTCTGGGCAATCCCCACTTTCAGTGTGGCCTTGCTGCAGATCATAGCCTCGTGGTATAAAGACATGCCAAAGTTGCTGTTACAAGAAATGATGCTGGCGCCAAGACTGCCATTGATCAATGCCAGACAACAGCACTTGCTCCAAACCTATTTCCAGCATGTGCACGAGCTCGAGATGAGTATGAACGATCCTAAGCAGTTTCGACAGGTGGGCGCTGTTCTGGATGTGGGGGGCAATGTCACGCGCCTCCAAGTGAGTTGCGCAGCCTGCGGCTCATCAGATCGTCAAGTTCTGCCCCAAGACATGCAGCACATCCTGAGGCACATGCCCCGGCTCGACCTACTGGTTCTGCAAAACATGAAGCTGTCAGCAGCTTTGCTGGGTACGGCGCTATCGGCAGCCCCGGCTCTGAACGGTTTAGCACTGGAGTGGCTTGAGCTGGTGCCCAAGACTGCGCAGATCGGCACGGTCCTTCAACAACTGCCACGACCAGAGCGCCTCCATGACCTCCACCTCCGTGCCAACGGACTGGACAAGCGGGACACATGGGTGGCCTCATTGCCGCAGCAATTCACCAGATTGGATAGGGTGTTGCTCTGGCACAACCAACTCTCTGATGATATCGGACTGGCATTGGCAAGGAACGTCGCCGCGTACAATAGGCGGTGGAAGCGTTTCGGTGTTTCCTCCAGCGGCTTCAATCAGAGCGTCATATCACAGATCGAAGCCGCATGCGCATGCGAGTGCGAGTGAGTTGTTGTTACATTTCACACTGTCGTCAACGGCTGCGATATGCATCTTGAGAGATGGGAAATGCGATTCCTTGTATCCTCAGTGTACTGCGCACTTGTTTCAGCTGTCGGCTCTGCTGTTTCTATTTGGACTGCTTGGAAATCACACCACAACCTTGCTGAAGAATGGCTGGGGTAGTGTTTAGGGTCTACGATCTAGGGTTCATTGCTTGAGGTGTTTCGATTGTTTAGGGCCAGTCAGGGTCTCGGTTGTGCAGGGTTTGGGGTTTTAGAGTTTGGGGTTGAAGTAGTGTGTTTAGGGAATGGATTTAGGCACAGCACAGGCAGCAGAGCCGTGCTTAAATCCTGTCCTCCACTCAGGGGCACGTATTACATCATGTTGTGTGTCCCTCTTAGCAATACCCATTCGATGCGACTTCTTAGTTGAGGCCTTGGGTAGGTTTATGATGGCTGTATACTTGAAGCACTAATTACTACTTCATTCACAGCCTCTACCTGAACGACATACCTGAAATCGTAGTTTGTCTTCCTAATCCTTGTTTGGGTAATGTACATATACTTGAAGCAGTATTATGCTTTTATTGCGGGCTATGGGGCCTTCTGAGAACCGACACCGTGTTTCATGAGACCACGATGTGGAGTGGCAGTGTGGAATCAAGATCAGCTCGGGAGCTGCCGGAGGTCAACAGCCGGCACCCTTGCCACTCAGATGAGCCATCCCCCAAGCCATTTCATCCCCCCAAGGCATGTCAAATAGAGTAACCAGGCAGTTTCGAACACATGTTGTTGCCACCTGCTGTTGCCCTTGGAGTCATAGTGCTGAGTTGCAGAGGCTGGTGTTGCCACTGGCTTCGCGAAGTCAAAAAGCAGCACGACAAGGGCAAGGTCATCTGCTGTGCCGTCTCAAACGTGTATTTTCCCGTTGCTCGGCTCACAGTGCCAATGGGGCCACGTAAGCAAGGCACGAACAGGGAGCCTCAAGATCTGAGAAGACTCAGGTTCTGGTTCGTCAGTGGCACCGGTAGAGTGGTAGAGTCTGGTAGAGGCCGGGAGTTGCAGTCCCTGGCATCTGAGGGGTGGGTGGATGACTACGGCGCGGGCTCTTCAGAGCTTTCAGACGCCCGCGCCGAAGAGTTCAACTTGGCCAAGCGCCTCGGCTTAATCGTGCATGCTGATCGTTTCGCAGGGTTGCTGCTCGGATCTGTGCGTTCGAACAGTCTCAGTGGCATGGCGATGCAGACTCGTATAGACCTGCCATAGTCGCGAGTACTCTGCACAGCTGCGCCCGAACCGACTCTAGATCTGAGGGAGACTTTCCGGAATGGCCGGCCCGAAGGATGGGGCCAAGGCACGATTGAGATCCAGGGTGCTACTTCGCCAAAAGTTGACCTGTACCTTTTTGGAGTTTCAACATTTTGTAGGAGTAATAGATTAACCTTCCTATTCCTTGGCTATTGCAGAAGTATAAGGTTGAGTACGCCCGGGAAGCCCCAGTCCACGAGTGGACCAAGAAGCCGCTGGGCGAAGGCTGCCGTTGGGAGCGGCAGACCCTGGACAAGTTGCCTTTCCCCGTGTACGCATTCTTTATGCCCTAGACCCCCCAACTGCCCTCTAAAACAAAACCAAATACCACCCAAACACCCACAAATAAGGGCCATAAGGATTCCATTATGGGCCCCTTGGGGGGGTCCTGGAAGGGGCTGCGGATAGTCTGGGATGCGAGCGCTCCGAAGATGGGCCCAAAGGGCCTTCATCTTGAGCTTCATGCGCCAAGCCCAAGGTTCCTTCACCCCGTTCAGGGTTAAATTTGGCTTATGGCGAGTTTACAGGGTTGAAATACAACGTTTATAAGGTTTACATTGGGATTTGGGCTTGGGGCGGTGATGGGCCGAGACGTGTGATCATCCCGGGGCACCCAGCATCTCCAGCAAAGTTCACCCCATGCGAAGACAACCGTGTCTTCAACATTCTTCAACATTCCTCGAATGCTAGGTTCGAAAGAAGAGGGTCCTGTGCTGCAAGGTTTTTGGGCGTTTGAGATTGCTTAAGGGTTTAAGAGCGGCGTGTGGGCGCCTTGAGTTCAGGTCCCGTAAAGCAAGGAAGCCTGCGATTCGCATGATCCCCTGTATAGTCCCGATTCCCGATTGAATATCTTCGGCTATAGTCTACCCCCTCCTCCAAAACATGCTGTTCTGTTTCAACTCCTTGTTCATGAGGCACCTCTTCAAAGGGCAGCTGAAGGAGCTTGTCGTTCCAACTGCTTGCCTGTCTGCCTGCTATGTGCAATGTAATATATGTATATACATATACAACAATACATGCACAGACACACATGGATTTCTCTCTCTTCATCTGTCAATTCAGACATGTGCGTGTGTGCCAGTGTATGTATGCATGTAGGCAGGTATGCATGCCTATGTGTGTGTGTACATAGACTTTGAGTTCGTGGCTTGCGGTCGAAGTTTGTTCTGTGGCAGAAGTTCTGGGCTGTGTGTTGTGCATTGTATGTTTACCGCTGCATTCCACACATGATAACGCTTAGTTGTTTTACATGTCATGAGCCCTATAAACCCTAAATGTCACCGCAGCTTTTTCGGGTTCGGGCGGGCCGAGTCCTTGACGTGGTGCAGAGCATGAAGACAGCTCGATTCCCAGTGAGCTTACGTTAATTACGAGTTAAGGGCTTCAGATGCAGCAGTTTAAGGTTTTTTGAATAAGGGTTTAGGGTTTAGGGTTTGGGGTGTCGGGTAGGTTTCGCGTTTCGAGGCGTCGGGATGCAGAGTAGGTTCGTAGACCCTCCAGTTCTGTCCCCGGTGGCTGTGTTGGTGTTCTGATTCATTTTCCGAACGACGGTAACGACGGTAGCAGTTAACAGTTCAGTTCGAGTTTTGCCCCTTTCCTACCCCTTAAACCCCCTGTAGTCCTCTACCCTACTCTGCAAATCCTTGTACCCTAAACGGCCCGTCAGACTCTGAACCCTAAGCATCCAACCCTAGATCCACAACTCGGCCTTCGTAAGGATGCTAGGTTCTCGCCGCTGCAAGAAGCAACGTTTGGATTTTGTTGGTTACCCCTACACTTTAAAGGCTCCGAGGCAGTCATGAGCAAGCCCACTTCAATGATGTAGTCAGAAACCCCAAACCCCAAACACCGGCTCTACTTGATTATGCAGGGCCCCCTTTCTTGATTTAATCAGAAACCCCAAAGCACACTGCTCTAATTTATGAAGGCCCCTTCTCTTACGCCTTAAACCCCCAGCAACCAGAGCTTATAGGGCAGAAAAAGAGGCTAGAATTCACAGTTCCTTGCAATAGCCGACGAAGAGAGAAGCCCAAATACCAATGCTGCTCCTAACGGCTCCTTCGTGTAAGCATGGAAGAATTCCTCTCTAACCCCAAAATTTTATTCTACTGATTGCGGCCCCTAATGTAGTCATGTTTTATGGGTACAAAAGGGTTTCGGCCCGCGGGGGCCGAGGGTCTATAGATTTTGGGGGGTGTGGTAGTACGAGGTGCGCTAAGTCCGTGGCCATCAGAGTGCATGGGTTTTGGGCTTTAGGGTTTAGGGTCCATGTACCCAAATAGCATATACTTTGGCCTTGAAGTACTGCAGTCCCTATACAGGTACTTTGGGGACTTTGGGGCCGAAGTATATATAATGTTTGGGTGCATGGACCCTCAGGGTTCCTGTGAAGCATGGCCAACTTGTGCGCAGGACTCGTCGTAGGTGCCTATACATCCGTAGCAGGAAGGGGTCTTTGCTGATGTTTCTGCATTTCTCAGTCCAACTGCTGTTGCGGCGCTTGAAGATTCACACGTGCTTGAGTTCCTATCCCAGTGCTTGGTGTTTGTTACCTTTGGTGTGTTGCCGTTGTGCCTGCGAACGTCCAAGCAGTCCGCCAAATCCCGTCCAGGCCCGGTACATTCCAAGTGCCAGGACTGCCGCCAGACCGGTTGCTGACATAGTCGGGATCTGGTTCCGTCATGGGTTCCAGTTCATTCAGCCCCTGAGCCCCTACCAAGCGGGCTTGGCTCCGGCTACTCCCTCCCGAACCCAACGTCGCCAGGCATCGGAGCACAGTATCGAGGTCTCAATTTGCCGCAATATGCAGGTGCGGTATATCATACTGTAGTTATTAATACAGGGCCTGCAAGGGCATAGTGATGCCATGTTCCGACCTCTATGTTATTTCAGTGGCCCGAGAAAAGCGGTCATGCCAGTGATGCTCGCAGACGCATGCCACTGCCTAATTGCTCACGAACAGACATGGAACCCAAAGCTTTTAACGGCACCTGCCCTTACAATGTCCTTTGCTTCTAGAACACAGGTAGCACCCTGCGAACCGGCCTGCCAAAGACATGAAACCCTAAACCCTGAGACGTTGGGTCCGAAGGCCCGACATCCCGAAACCACAAACCCTAAACCCTGTCTAGGGCTTTTTGTGGAGGGTTAAATGGAAGACAAGAAATAAGGGTCTATAGTCTATAGGATCTAAGACTTGCACTAAAGGTCTAGAGGGTTTACTTGGAGGTTCATGGGTAGTGTTATAAGTGGGGTTATAAGTCCCCTAGTAATTATTATTTTAACCCTACTTATAACTCCACTTATAATTACTTATTGCTACCCATGAACCTCCAACTAAGACTTGAGTACAGGCTTCAGGGTTCAGCCCTTAGGCTTTGACTTGCATGGCTCGAAGGAGGGCGCAATCTCCAGGCGACCAGGAGCACCCGGAGCCAGAGCGGACCTCGGTTTAGGGTTCGGAGGCTTTTTCAGTGTGTCAGCTCAGGGATAAGGCAGTTTTGGCTAGTTTAAAGTTTTGGTGTTTGGGGCTTTCTTTGGGGGTTAATGGCTTCAGGCTGTTGTGGTTTAGGGCTGGCGCTTCTGGGTCTGGTGATTTTTGTGGGTTGGGATTGGGGCTTTAGACCTTCGGTTTTGATTGCGCAAACTAGAGGATACCCAAGCCTACAGCAGGCGTCCTTCATGTTAGGAAGCTGGCGCCAGGTCCTAGCCACCAGGGTCTATGGCTTTTCGGCTATTTGGGTCCGGGATGTAGGCTGGCACCCCAAAACACTAAACCCCAAACCCCAAAACCCCAAACCCCAAAGCCCTAAAACCCTAAAGCCGTATCCCCAAAACCCTACAACCCCAAACCGCCCAGTTCCTTGTTGGCTTTTTTCGCTGTTCAAACTTCCGGGGGTCCGCCGCTTCAGAGAGTTCGGCTCGGGCCTCGGTTGGGGTCAGAAGCCCATGGAGCCCAAAGGGGTCCAAATATTTAGGGTTTGGGGATTTAGAGGGGATTGGGGTTTAGGGTTTGGGGGTTTAGGATTTAGGGGTTCAGGGTTTAGGGTTTAGGGGTTTGGGGTTTAGGGTTCCGAAGTGCCTTCATTCAGGAACTACTTCAAATCATTTTAGGGGCCCTATACTGTGAGGTACATTGCTTGATGAACGGATCTTGGAAGCTCTAGGTGTCCAATAATTATAACTCTGTAAAACGGTAACTTATTACACAACTGCTGTCCGAAACTTAAGTACCTAATGACATTGGGTCTTAAAACAAGGCCCTGGATAAAGGGTGGTTGCTTCTGATGTGGAGTTCGGGCCGGGGGCTCTGAGCAGGCCACGAAACATTGGAATTAAATTCTCAACCATGGTCAAAACCCTAAGCCCCGAACTCGAAACCAAAAAAACATCCAAAACCCAGAACCCCTGAGCCCTAAACCCAAAGCCCAGAACCCCTAAACCTTAAACCCCTAAACTCTTAAACCCCTACAACTGGAAGTTCAATCTAAACACACGGTGCATCTGACTTTGGTTTGATCAATCGCTGGACTCAGACATGGATGATGCTGATGATGACCTAGCAGTAGAGCAGGTCACATCTAGAGGTTGATCTTTCAATCCCCTAGGATACTTAACAGTAAGGTGTTCCGGATGATGATGATGATGATGATGATGATAGTAGAAGGAAGAGGTGTCGTGCTGTAGGGCTTAGTAGGGCCGCTAGGGCTGACAGCTTCCATCTCGGTTTGTGCATAGCCACTCCATGTCTTGTCCCTATGCTCACAAGGGTTCAGGGTTCAGGGTTTGGGTCGCCAAACCTCAGACAGCTGCGACAGGAGAGCCCCATGGACAAAACAAGCCCTTGAACCCTGAAACCGAAACCCTATAAACCTTAGCTCCCTAGCACCCTAAACCCCTTAAAGCCCCTAAACCCGAAGCTCTTGAACCCTGAGCTCTTGCTCCACAACCTTCCGAACCTGGGACCGGCCTCAACTCCAGGTGGACGAGCAGAAGAGCAACGCGGAGCGGCGGTAGGGTAGAAGGGGCGGGGGGGGTTGGGATTTAGGATCTAGGGCGGCCTGTGTTCCTAGTCATCGGTTTTCAGGGGTTGCCGTGATATTTTCTAGCTGGCTCGCTCTCCACAACGACGACAGGGAATTAACCTCAGTCTTGGTAAGGCAAGCTGCCTTCATCTCGCAATGTTATTGTCGCCCTCATGCCATCATTGATAAGTATCATGCCATCAACTTGGTCATGAAAAATCATGGCGACGACGGCAGCTCATGCCGGTGCTTGTTGCGGCAAGGTATCCTTTAATATCCACTTAGAAGATGCACGTAAAGCATGCTGTGCCAGTGCAAACACACAGGGAGCATGGCCATCCGTTCTCAGCCCTATAAACCTAAAAACCCTGGGCTTTGGTGGTTTAGGGTCTATAGGGCTTTGGAGTCTATAGGGCGTTTTGGGTTTAGGGTTTAAGGAAGCCCTAAAACCTTTCTGTTTAGAGTCGGGTTGGGTCTCGGGTTTACGGCGTCGAGTTTGGGGTTTACAGTTTGGGGGCTTGGGGTTTGGGGTTTAGGGGTTTAGGGGTTGAGGGTTTCAAGTGGATATGTAAGCCGAAAACCCTGAACCTTCTTCAGCCCCAAGCCTTCTAAGCCCCAAATCTGCGGTCCCTTAAAGGAACCCTCTAGGATGCCTTTGCGGAATCCCTGAAAGGAATCCTATAGGATCCCTTGACGGAATTCCTTAAACGGAACCCCAAAACTCTGAGTTCACAGGAGCGAAGCCCGGATCGGCGCTTCGCCGCATCACTGCGAGCCAACCGCGCGCGAAGGCGCTTCGTAGTTCCTGCTTTAGAGTCTATCGGGTTTTAGGATAGGGGTTTTAGGGCTTACGGTTTAGGGTCTAGGAAAAATCTAACGCCTTTCTGGTTTAGAGCGCTTTTTGTTTAAAGTCGGGTTGGGGTCTCGAGTTAAAGGCTCAGAGTGTGGGGTTTCGAGTTTGGGGCCTTGGGGTTTGGGGTTTAGCAGTTGAGGGTTGCAAGTGGGTCTAAAAGGCCTTGTGTGCATCTTTCATATGTCAGTTTCCATAACATGTTTTGTGCATTTGGACTGGTGTTTGCACTTACAAGTGCAAGGCTAAATAGCTCTACACATGCAGGGTCTACAACATACCATAACTGTACTCATGCATTCACTGTTTGCGGACGAGTCGAAACTAACCCCCGTAGCCCTAAGCTCGAGCTGTCAACAGACAGACTAGCAAGGTTTGGGGGATGCTGGGAGACGCCGACAGAATCAATGCGGGTCCTCTGGTCCAAGCCCAAAGCCTGAAGTCTTCACATGAAACATGACGGTAGGGTGTAGAACCAATAACACCGTTGGTCTTTATGTGATGCATTCACGTATCAAACCACGTTCGATAGCAAACACCGGCAAGCCTTCAGACATCAACAAGAGAACTTGTACCCGCATTCCTAGCTAAGCATTTTCCGGAGGCTCCGAAGCCTCTTCGTGAAGGAATATGTACCTTAAGTCATAGGGGGTCCCTATCAAATAATGACTTAGGTTTACTTCGGGTCTATTCCTCAAATTTCCTCAATTGCGAGGTTTGGGAGTCGATGGGAATCCCAGGAGCCAAGACCAGGACTCCCTAAACCCTAAAGCTCCCGCTACACCCTTAACCCTAAAACCCTAAACCCTGGAACCCTGAACCCCAAAACCCTATAAACCCTATAAGCACTATAAGCCCTATAAGCCCGAACCCAGAAAAAGCTAAAGCCCTAAACCCCCTAAACCTCTAAACCGTGCAGCTTATGTCCCTCCGTATCGCCTTGCAGGGCGCGGGAAGAGTCCGAGGCACCCAAGTCCACCGACGCAGCTTGGCCGACCTGCAGCCACTTAGGACGTAAGGCTTACTGAAGTTCAGAGATGAGGATCTTACTTGGAGTGCTTATGTTAACGATGTAAGAACTTGAACAGCATTCATTGTCATATCCACAGCAATCATCATCCTTAATAAAGTAAAGGCAGGAATCAGGATCCTGGCGTTCGTGAGTGTACTGTTTTGGGTTCAGGTACGGGTTTCAGGGTGGCGTGAGGATATGGGTCCAAGGCTTGGGGACAGTGTTGGGTTCCTGTCGCCGCGCCTTCAGGACGTTTGGGTTCGACGTCTGTGGTACAGGATGTGGGGCACCTTAGTGCTCTGATTTGGCTTCCACCCGTCTGCGAAGAAGCCACACTGGCGCCCTCGTTCTCTCATGCTTAGCCATTATGACAGCTCTTGTTGCGATCGGGATGTACAAGATGATGATGCACTGTTGCTTCTCGTTTAGCCATTGCTGTAGATCGTCCGACTCAGGCCCACACCCTTAAGCCCTAAACCCTGATCCCGGCTCGGAGAGGCTTCAACGAGGGACAGAGATGTTTCTTTGCTTCGAAGCGGATACTTTGGACCAACCTTGGGCCCTAAAGCAACCCTCAAGTTATAGCCCGATCCTGATCAGTCCTTCATAGGAACCCTTTAGGCAAGCCGTAAAGGAACTCTAAGGCCCAATTCAGCTCTTGAAGGGACCTGTGAAGAAGCCTTCATAGGAAGCCCAAAAAGGAAGCCTGAGAGCAGCTCTAAAGCCAAACTCAGCCCTTACAGGGACCTGCACAGACTAGGAACCCTTACAGCAAGCCCTGAAGCAGCTCTAAAGCCCAATTCAGCCCTCCTCGACTGGGAACCCTTAAAGCAGGCCGTGGAGGAAGGTTTTGTAGGAACCTGAAGGCCCCAAGGCGTTTCCGGCGGAAGCAGCCAAGGACTGATCTGACGTGGGCGTTCTTTGGAAAAGCCTGGGAGCACAGGACCACCGGTAGCTAAACTGAGTTCTCGTTCGGGAAGTTCATTCAAGGTACCAAAATAGGGATCTATGGTGAATAGCATGGTTTCCTTATTATGATGGGACCTTAAATTAAATCCCTTAACAAGAACCCACTAAATTGAAGATTCGATTCCGATCGTCATACTCTAGGGTATCTGTCCCACAGGTCGTACCGCTGGCCGAGACCTCGTCTGAACCGGGAGCTTGCTGGGGAACCGTGAATCTGGGTCGCGCATGGTTCGACTTCCCGCAGACAAAAGTGATGTTCGTTGTCCGAAGACACGAGATGCCTGCCACCAACTGCGCCACAAGAACGCTTCAGTTCATGATCGATGTGGGTGCCCGGTGGTTCTGTTGCGATTGGTTTTGGATCATGCCGCCCCTGCTTCACGACGCTCCTGGACCAGGCAGGTGCCACCATCGTCCCGATGCCTGCGGTCGAATGGATTCGATCACCTGGCCTGCGCGGACGATAAGCGTAGTCAAGTGGCTCTTCCACGTCGAACCATACAGCAGTTTGTGCGAACACCGCAACCGTGGCACGCTGAAAGATCATCTCAAAAAAGACTGCAGCTCGTAGGAAACCAGGCAGGGGTATTGGACCCAAGTGGCGCCATCCCACATGCTTTCCTTTGCGGCATGCCTAAACGCAGAAGGCCTGTGGCAATCCTTCTTAAGCTTATTCTAACTAGACCAGTTCTGGAGATCATCACGGTACCCTTACCACCTATAAACCTGAAATCTACTTAGCCTTGAACCATCAGCTCGTTTAGTATTATGAATATTGCAGGGGTGGCGGCCGGCGGCCGGGAGGTGTCTCTCCAAATTGAGTCCGTTTCTCGTCAGGTTCAGACTCAGTATCAATAATACCCCATGTCAGTTCGTTTCGGGTCAGGCGGGGATTTTAGAGTGGGGCTCCAGTTGTAGCATGAAGCTTTGCAGCTTGGCATGTGGTCCGACTTCTCCGGCTCGCAAACTGCAAGCCTTGCAGTCATCCAGTCAATCACCCCACGTCGGCACTCCCGGATGGCCCACCTGCAGCGTCCCGATGGCAGCTGCAGCGCAGGAGATGATCGCAGCCTTGACGACGCAGCGGAGGACCTGCAGGCCGACAAGGAGCTTCCTTCGGCAAAGGCAAGGCCGAAACCGAGAGTTTGGTGCTAGGGTTGGGTGCAGGAGCTGCGGCAGCGTTGGCTACAGAAGGTCCGCGCGAATGGGCACAAGCTTGGTGCCGCACCGAAGGACCTCCGGGCCGACAAGGAGATCGTGATGGAGGCCGTCAAGCAGAATGGCATCGCCTTAGAATACGCCTCCAAGGACCTCCGGGCCGACAAGGAGATCGTGCTGGAGGCCCTGCAGGAGAGTGGCCATCCCTTGCACTACGCCTCCGAGGACCTCCAGGCCAACAGGGAGGTCGTCCTTGCGGCCGTGAACAAGATGGGCGTTGCCTTGAGATACGCCTCCAAGGACCTCCGGGCCGACAGGGAGTTCGTCCTGGCGACCGTGACGCAGAGTGCCTATGCCTTGCAATACGCTTCCAAGGAAATCCGGGCCGACAGGGAGTTCGCTCTGGCGGCCGCGCAGCAGAGTGGCTATGCCTTGAAATACGCCTCCGAGGACCTCCAGGCCGACAAGGAGGTCGTGCTGGAGGTCGTGAAGCAGGATGGCGCTGCCTTGGAATACGCCTCCGAGGACCTCCGGGCCGATAAGGAGATCGTGCTGGAGGCCCTGCAGCAGGATGGCCTTGTCTTGAATTACGCCTCCAAGGACTTGAAGGCCGACAAGGAGATCGTGCTGGCGGCCGTGCAGCACGATGGCAGGGCCTTGGAATTCGCCTCCACCGACCTCCAGGCCAACAAAAAGTTTGTCTTGCCGGCCGTGCAGCAGAGTGGCGACGCCTTGGAATTCGCCTCCGAGGACCTCCGCTGCGACCGGGCCTTCGTCCTTCAGCTCGTGGAGGCCACCAAGGCCTATTGGCTCTGCGACTTCGCCTCGGAGGAGCTCCGAAAGGACGCGGACTTCCGGCAGCAGTGCCGAGAGGCGGCGGGCACTGGCCTGGTTTGGACCTATTACGACAGCTTCTCCATGTTCTACGACATGAGATATAGCTTCCCGACTACCGGGGCGTCAATTCCGGGAGGCGCCGCCTATGACCGAGTCATGGACAGGTTGAAAGCCTCCGATCACGGTGGCCGCTTGGAGACACTGCTCAGCTCTTCGAGGGAGGGGGTGAGGTCTTTGAGAGGGCTTCGTTGAGAAGATGTTGGCTTGGATACTTTTCTGTGTGGGGAAGTGGTTTCTTGCGGTTTTTGGGCTGTTTTGATCTTGCGGTTGCGAGTTCTTGTCCGACGCGGAGCCTTCAAGATGCAGACCGGACAGTAGTTAAGTAGTTGCGTGAGAGTGCTGAATATCTGAGAAACGTGGAGTGACGCTTGGCCTTGGCATGTGAAGCGTTAAAGGATCAGCGTCGCGGACTTGTTATGCCATGCGCCCTGTGGCCAGGCGCTGCCACGGTCTGGTTTGGCGATACACTGGTCTGGGGCTTTGCCACGGAGGGTTGGCTGCACCCGCCAGAAGAGTGCGGCCGGGACGACGTCCCAGTGCCAGCTGCTGAGGGGCGGCACCCGAAGTGGAGCGGCAATGTCGAATCGAGGTCAGCTCGAGAGCTGCCGGAGGTCAACAGCCGGCACCCTTGCCACTCAGATGAGCCCTTTCATCCCCTAAGCCATGTCAACTAGAGTGACCAGGCAGTTCCGAACGCATGTTGTCACCACCTGCTGTTGCCCTTTGAGTCATAGTGCCGAGTTGCAGAGGCTGGTGTTGCCACTGGTTGCGCGAAGTCAAGAGGCAGCACGACGAGGGCAAGGTCATTTGCTGTGCCGTTTCAAACGTGTACGAGCCGGTTGCTCGGCTCACAATGCCAATGCGACATATAAGCAAGGCGCGAAGGGGGGGGGTCTCAAGATGTGAGAAGGCTTGTCATCTTGTCCGTGTACTGCTTCGTCAATGACACCAACATAGAGGCTGGGAGTTGCAGTCCCTGGCATCTGAGGACTGGGTGGAGAAGTACGGCGCGGGCTCTTCGGAGCTTTCAGACGCGCGTGCCGAAGAGTTCAACCTAGCCAAGCGCCTCGCCTTAATCGTGCATCTTGGTCGTTTGCCAGGGTTTCTGCCCGGATCTGTGCGTTCGAACGTTCTCAGTGGCATGGCTGCGTAGACTCGTCTAGACGTGCCATTCTCACCATTATATTGGGTGCCCTTGTGGCCGAGCCGACTCGAGATCTGAGGGAAACTTTCCGGAATGGCCGGCCCGAAGGATGGGGCCAAGGCACGATTAAGATCGGCAACGTTACTTCGCCAAAAGTTGAAGTGTACCTTTTTGGGATAAGCTTGTGTTGTAGGCAAAATCGATGACCCTTTTTCCTTGGCGACTGTAGAAGTACAAGGTTGAGTACGACCGGGAAGCCCCAGTCCACGAGTGGACGAAGAAGCCGCTGGGCGAGGGCTGCCGTTGGGAGCGGCAGACCCTGGACAAGTTGCCTTTCCCCGTGTACGCATTCTTTGGGCCCTGAACCTAGACCCCCCAACTACCCTTTAATATACCCCCAAATACCCACAATCAAGGGCCATAGGGTCTCTATAGAGAGGCTCCGTGAGAGGTCCTGGAAGGGGCTGCGGATAGTCTGGGATGCGAGCGCTCCGAAGATGGGCCCAAAGGGCCTGCCCCTCCAGCCGCACGGGACACCTCGGGCCGGAGGAGCCCCATCCGATAATATGCTTTTCATGAGCCCAGGAGGGTATCTTGCAATGGCATCCCTCTGTCCGGAATTCTTCCCACCTTTGATCTCTTGCACGGTGTGTTTGAGACGAAAGACTGGTGCTTGAGCTGTAAGGAGCCGTGAATGATCTTGGGAACCGTGGGTGGTGCTGCAACTCGAATTCAGAGCTCAGGGTTTGTGGGCAATTCAGAGCTTAGGGTTTAACCTTGATGAACGCGGTGGGGCGTCGAAGATGGAGGGCCAAGGAGTACAAAGATCAGGATTCGGAAGTGCAGCATGATGGTGGTGAAGGCTAGTGCAGTGGTCTTGACGTTGCAACAGGATTAGGGTATGGGGTCGGATGGTGGTTATTGCGACCATGAAGATGAGGAGCTAGAGGAGGGCAACGATGTTGACGAGCTTTCTGAACAGAACAAGGGGCCTCGCGGCATTATTTGTGCGTCGCCTATGTTTTTGATGTGTTGCCCCATAAAGTTCACTGCCCAAAGGCCGCTAGCCAAGCATGGGCACTTGGAGCCCTGAAGCCCAGCCTTTCTTTTCAGTGTCCCGTCCAGGAACGTTCTGGCTGGAGGGGGGGATTCCCTAACATGCATGGGCTGCCCAGCAAACTTTGCCAGAACAGGAACAAAAGCAGGAATGGTAGCAATACTCGTGCCAATGAAATGGTAAGAGTTGACAACTCAAAGCTTGCGAAGCAGCATTTCTTCGCCGCTCTGCGAGCATTGGCGACATCCATTCTTCCCCTGAGCTCTTGTGTTGTTAAGTCGTCAGTTGCCAGTCCCCGTTGCCCCTGTGTCCAAGAGCTCGGGCAGGAAGCCCCTTGCATGTCTCGCATGTCAGAGCTGAGAGCAATCTTCAGGATCTGCGCCAGCAATTAATTAGGTGCCGAGAAGATGAGGAGATTTCATGGTCAGCAATCCCGAGAGCAGTCAGCTCAAAAGTGCTTCTCAGAATGAAGCCCGATCATACTTGATTTTTTCCCTGCTGCCTCGCCAGCGCAGGTACTGCTTCGTACTCTCAACCTGCCCTTCTGTTTTCCTGCCGCCGACGGGTTTTTTCTACAGCAATCTACGACCACCACCACCACCACCACCACCACCACCACCACCACCACCACGAGGAAAATGGGTCCGTTTTTTCGTTATCTTATATGCCTGTATAAAAATTATGTACACATATTTGACATGTTTGTCTTCTCTCTCGCCCTCTCTGTCACTCTCTGTATCCTTGTGCGTGTGTGCCAGTGTATGTATAGATGATTTAAATGCGGGCAGGTATGCACGCCTATGTCTGGGTACATTCGCTTTTAGTACGTGGCTTGCGGTCGAAAGATTTTCCTGTGGCAGAAGTTCTGGGCTGTGTGTTGTGTATTGGACTTTTCCGCTGCATTCCACACATGATGTCACTGCAGCGTTTTCGGGTTCGGGTGGGCCGAGTCATTGACGTGGTGCAGAGCATGAAGACAGCCCGATCCTCAATGAGTTTACGTCACGAGTGAAGGGCCTCAGGCGCAGTGGTTGAGGGTTTTTGGAACAAAGGGTGGAGGGTATAGCTTTTATATAGGGGTTTGGGGCTTGGGAACTAAAACCTGGGTTTAGGGCTTAGTGACAGAATGATTCTTGTTTTCGCTACACTGGAAAGACGCCGAAGCATCATGAAAAAGCTTATTGGCATGATAGCATCAGAAACTCCAAACCCGCTAATCCAATCAGTGAATTATTGCAAACCACAGTTTTCACCCCTCCGGAGGCCAAAAGGCTGTGCCACTAAATTCGCAGCTCCTTGCAACTGTAACAGTCGCATGGCTAGTGCTGGGGCTTTATTGCAGACCTTCTGCACTTCACTAGCTTCATTCACTCAAGAGAGGTCGTACATGGCATTTCTCCCAAGCGCAGCATGGAGGGTCTCAAAGACTTCACGCGAGTGAGTGCAACCCAGCACACGGATGCCACCGTGAAGTTGTGAACGGTTTCGATTGTGAGGGTTTCGGGCTTGCTCAAATTTAAAAGCTTAGGCATAGAATATACCAAACCGAAGGGAAGACAGCTGTGATCGTAATTATAGATACCAAGCAGCGCTCGAGCCAACCCAAGAACCATTCCGAAAGCACTCCAGAGACCAGCCCATGACATCCCATGGCCAGGTTTAGGGTTTAAAGGGCTTAGGGCCCAAAATGCGGTAGCACGATCAGTATTGACACAGCCGAAAGAGGCACGGCAGTGTGGCGGGAGCACGATGGCCCACTTCGGACAATTCCAAGACCTCTCAGAAATCCAAACCCGAAACCCTTACATCACCCAAAAGCCCTACAACTCCCCCTCCCTAACTCCTCCGCCGCAGATGCTGAATCTGGAACCTTAATCCTGAACTCTATAAACCTTGAACCCTGAACCTCGAACCCCAAACCCTAAACCTAAAACCTAAACCCCAAACCCCAAACCCTAAACCCTAAACCCCAATCCGAAACGCTGGACCTTGAACCCTAAAACCCCAAAACCTTGCACCCTAAATCCCCCAGGTAGGCTCGGCACGGGGTGCGCCCGTGAGGGCCACGCAGGTCCTGCAAGCCTGGCTCTCAGAGACAGTTTGGGGGTTTTTACGGTTTAGTAAGGGTTTAGGGCATCGGGTTTAGGTTTTGGGGTTAAGGGTTAAGGGTTTAGGCACATAGAGGCCCAAATACCAATGCTGTTCCTAGCGGTTCCTGAATGTAAGCATAGAAGAATTACTCTAACCACCCATATTCTTCTCTACTGACTACGGCTTCTATTGTGCAGTCATGTTTTAATGGGGCCCTTGACGGGTTCAAAAGGGCTTCTGGTGAAAGGCTCGGGGCCCGGGGTTTCACAAGGTCTATAGATTTTGGGGAGTGTGGTAGTACGAGGTGCGCTAATTCCGTGGCCCTTAACTTCCATGGGTTTGGGGTTTAGGGTTTAGGGTCCATGTACCCAACTAGCATATACTTTGGCCTTGAAGTACTGTAGTCCCCATAATACAGGTACTTTGAGGCCGAAGTATATATACTATTTGGTTGCATGGACCCTCAGGGTTCCTGTGAAGCATGGCCAACTTGCGTCCAGGACTCGTGCTGTAGGTGCCGACATATCGATAGCAGGAAGTTTTAGAGTTTAGGGTTTTAGGGTTTACGGTTTGGATCGTCGTTGCTGATGCCTCTGCCTTTCTCAATCCAACTGCTGTTGTGGCGCTTGAAGATTCATGGAAACAAGGCTAGCAGTACCTATCCCAGTGCTTGGCGCTTGTTACCTTTGGTATGTTGTGAACGTCCAAGCAGTCCGGCAAATCCCGTCCAGGTCCGGTACATTCCAAGCGCCAGGACTGCCGGTTAGAGAAAGTGTCGAGCTCTGGTTCAGGCAGTCAACGGCTGCAGTTCATTCAACCCCCAAGCCCCTATGAAGCGGTCCTGGCTCCGGCTACCTTACCCATTCACTCCGAACCCAACGCACCGTGCAAAGGAACGCAGTATCGAGGCCTCAATTGATTTCGGGTCGCGTGATATGCAGGTGCGGTATATCGTACTTGTTATTATAATACATGAGCTGTAAGGGCATAGTAGCGCCATATTCCGGCTTCGCCATTGTGGCAATGGCCTGGGAAAATGCGGTCATGCCAGTGATGCTCGCAGACGCATGACGCCGCTAAGTTGCGAACCAAACATGGAAACCTAAACCTTTAGCAGAACCCGAAGCCATCGTAGATCCTTTGAAACGTCCTTTGCTTGTAGAACTCTGGTAGCACCCTACGAAGCTTCCTACCAAACGACATGAAATAGTAAACTGCGAGACATAGGTTCCTAAGGCCCGACATCGCGAAACCTCGGCACATCAAACCCTAAACCCTGTCTGGGGCTTCTTGTGCAGGGTTTATTGATTGATATACGATATGAGTTAATGGTCTATAGGGTTAAAGACTTGCATCACACGTCTAGGGGGTTTACTTGGAGGTGGTTATAAGCCCCCAAATGGGAGTTGTAACTATAATTATCCTGTTTATCATGATTTGAGTTCAGGCTTTCAGGGTTCAGGGGCTGTCGCCCTTAGGCTCTGACTTGCATGGCTCGAAGGAGGGCGCAATCTGCAGGCGACCAGGAACACCCGGAGAAGGAGAGGACCTCGGCTCAGGGTTTATAGGGGCTTTTACAGTGTATCAGCTTAGGGTCCAAGTTTTTTCGGGTTTAGGGCTTTCGTTTGGGGTTACAGGCTTCAGGCTGTTGGGGTTTGGTGCTCGCGCTTTAGGGTTTGGTGATTGGTGGGTCTGGTTAATGAGGCTTTTGAACTTCGGGTTTGAAGAGATCAGGATGTGGGGAGTTGGCTCTGATTGGGCTTGCGCCAGGATACCCAGGCGTCCTTAATGTTCGCAAGCTGCCGACGAGGTACTAACCACTGGGGTCTGAGATTAGGAATTGGTGTCTATGGCCTTTGGGCTGTTTGGGTCCGGGATGTAGGCTGCCACCCAAAACCCTAAATCCCCAAACCCTAAAACCCTAAACCGCCAGTTCATTGTTGGCTCTTTTTTTGCGGTTCAATGTTCCGGTGTTCGGCTCTGGAGATAGTTCAGCTCAAGCCGCGAGGAGTTAAGAGTTAGAAGCCTATGAAGCCCCGAGAGTCCAAGTGTTTAGGGTCTGGGTGTCTAATTTCTAAGTATGTTAAACGGTAACTTACATAACCGGTGTCAGTACCTAATTATTGGGTCGCAAACAAAGCCCTAATTGGAGGTTCGGGGGTAGTTGTCAGTGGGTTTATAAGCCCCCTACTAAATGAGTTATACTTCATTAGAGTTACCCTACTTATAACCGCACTTATAACTACTCATGAACTTCGGCTTAAGTTGCCCTAACAAGGATCTATAGCAAATACGAAGGTTTCCTTATTGTGACACCTTAAACCAAACTTAACAAGAGCCCAGGATTGGGTTGGTTGCTTCTGATGTCGAGTTCGGGCCGGGTGACCCTGAGCTACGAAACGTCAGAATGAAGCTTTCAAGCTTTCCTTACCTTTGGTTATAGGGAATGGAGGAGTGGGGTATAATTATAACTACTATTCCTACCATTCTTCCATTCCCTACTATCAAAGGTAAGTTTTGTCAAAACCCTAAGCCCCAAACCCGAAACCCCTAAACTCAAAACCCTGAACACCTACACCCTAAACCCCTAAACCCAGAACCGTGAACCCCTGAACCCTAAACCCCTAAACTCTATATCCTGCAACTACTGGAAGTTCAATCTAAACACAAGGTGCATCGGACTTTGGTTTGATGAGTTTTTGGACCGAGACATGGATGATGATGCTGATGATGACCTAGCAGTAGAGTAGGTAACGTCTTGCCTTTCTGAGGTATAATATTCCCTATATCGCCTGAAACCCAAAGATTCATCTTCAAATCTCCTAGGGTGCTTGACAAGTCAGGTGGTCAGGATGACGATGAAGGCAATGAGAAGGCGGCTGAAGGTGGTAGAAGGAAGAGGCGGTGTCATGCTGTGGGGTTTAGAAAGGTAGCTAGGGCTGACAGCTTCCAGCTCGGTTTGTGCATGGCCACTCCATGGCCTGTCCCTATGCTCACCAGGGTTTAGGGTTTAGGTCGCCGAACCACACAGGCAGCTGCGACAGGAGCCCATGGACAAGAGAAGTCTGCGAAATCGTAAACACTAACACCCTGGCACCCTGAACCGAAAACCCTAGCACCCTAAACCCCAAGTTCTTGAACCCTAAGCCCTTGCACCTTGATCCCGGGACGGGCTTCAACTCCAGGTGGAGGAACTGCAGAAGAGCTATGCGGAGCAGTGGCAGGCCGGAAGCGGGAGGTCTTGGGATGCAGGGTTCAGGGCGGCGCGTGTTCCTTGTCATCGGTTTTCGGTGGTTGCCGTGATTTTTCTGGCTGGCTCGCTGACAGCTCAGCTGGTGCTTGTGGCCGCAGAATATCCTTTATTATCTATGCATAAGACGCACGCAAAGCATGCTGTGCCAGTGCAAACACCCAGGGAGCATGGCCATCCACTTTCAGCCCTATAAACCGAGAATCCTTGAACCTTCAAGCCTAAACCCTAAGCCTTCTAATTAACCTCTAAACTCTGCGTTCCCTTACAGGAACCCTGTGGGATGCTTTAACGGAATCCCCTAGAGGAGCCCCGAACTCTGAGTTCCAGGAGCGAAGCCGCCACCGGCGTTTCGCCGCGTCACTGCGAGCCAACCGTCCGCGCAGGAGCTTTCTGGGGTTTAGGGTTTAGGGTTTAGGGCCTAATTAGGGTTTAGGGTTTCGGGTTTAGGGATAACCCTATAGGATCCCTTAGCGGACTTAAAGGAGCCCTACAACATGCGGTAACGGAATCGCCTAAAGCAGCCCCCACCGTCGTGTCGCCTTTTAGGGTTTGGGGTTGTGGGTTTAGCTTGGATCCTGCTTCCCGAAGGGTCCTAAGTACCCTTTGAGGGTTCCTTTAAGGGTTGAGGGTTTAGAGTTTAGAGCTCCTTGAAGGCTCCTAAATACCTACATCGTTCTTTAGACTAGAGCCTCTAGGTCGAGAGGGGTTCAGGGTTTAAACGCGCGTAAGTATCCCAGCCAGAAGGTCCTGCCTTGATAGTTCTGCCGTGAATCCACGGATACCATACGGTTTGGATCCGCTAGCGTGGGTTAGGGTTTAGGGTTCGGTTTTCGGGTTCAGTTAGTGTAGTTTGAGCTTTAGGGGTATAGATGAGGGGTGGATAGGGTTTATAAATCCTAACCATCCCTGGCTATAGGGTTTAAAGTTAGTGTAGATTGAGCTTTAGGGTCACAGATGAGGGTTTTGGGTTTGAAGTTAGGGTTCAGTTCGTGTAGACTGAGGTTTAACGTTCACGGTTAGGGTTCAGGGCTGAGGGTTTTAGACTAGGGCCTTGGGTTTAGAGTTTTGGGTTTGGGTCTCGTTTGTGTAGAGTAGGGTTTAGGGTTCAGCGGTTGGCAAACCCCCGAGGCTTCGTACGACAACGGAGTCCACCTGCAATCACCTCGTTTATCTGCTCTGGGGTTTAGCGTCCCACGGTTTAGGGTTTAGGGTCTTTAGGGTCAGAATTTGTTGCAGGTTTCTGGATTTTGAAGGGACGCTTCAAAGCCAACACATGCCAACACGAGACCCTCATACCCAATGAGTCTTTGGGGTTTTGTGAGAGTCTATACAACACCAAACCCTCTATGACCAAGACTGTACAACAGAGGCAATGACCAACACCGGAAAGCCTTCAGAAGTCAACCAGAGTAACCCTAAACTCTAGGACCTAGCTGAGCATTTCTCCAGAGACTCCAAAATCGTTTTCATCTAGGAATATACCTTAAACGCGTACATGGGGATCCATATTCTGATTTGAGTTTAAAGATGTTTAAGTCAAGTGGTATATTCCTTAACTAAGGGCTTTTGGAGTCTCTGGGATTTGCCAGTGCCAGGGGGCCAGGACTCCCTAAACCCTAAAACCCCCCTCAACCTTGAACCCTAAAATCCTAACCCCTCCCGCCCCCCAAACCCTAATACCCTATACCCGGAACCCCAAACCCTAAACCCCTAAATCCCTAAACCCCTAAACCCTTAACCCGGGGCTGTGCAGACTAAGTCCCTCCGTATCGCCTTGCAGGGCGCGGGAAGAGTCCGAGGCAGCCAAGTCCACCGACGCAGCCCGGCCGACCTTGAGCCACTTTAGGGTTTTAGGGTTTTAGGGTTTAGGGTTTTTAGGGTTTAGGGTTTAGGGTTTTGGGTTTTTAGGGTTTAGGGTTTTAGGTTACTTGTAAGATCTTCATAAAAAATACCCTAATTAAACCCTAAATTCAGAAGAGCCGCAGTATCTCTGGTTGGGGTACATAGGATAAGGGGTTAAACCCTAGTACAAGTAAGGCCAGCTGAACATTCAGAAGAGCAGTATCTTGTTTTGTGGGTGTACTTAGAAAAAGATCCCTAAGTCCTAAACCGTATCCTGTTCTTTATGTCAACGTATGGTAGAAGCCCACAAGTTGGAAACCCACTAGCCTCAATCCTTGAGAGTAATGCATAGGGAATCCCAGCACTATTTGGCCATAATCCGGTTTCCAATTTTATGGGGTTGACTGTAGAGTTTATAGGCCTCAAGTCCAGGGTTCAGGGTAGCTTGAGGATCTTTCGGGTCCCAGCTTTAGGGATGAACAGTGTAAGGTTCTGGGTGTCGCGCTTTCAGAACTTTTAGTGGTTTCGAGTCTAAGTCAGGGGGGAATTACAGGTTGTGGGGTAACTAAGTTCTGTGATTTAGCTTCCGCCCGTCTGCAAAGAAACTACACTGGCACCTTGTTCTTTTCTGCGATACGACAGCTAGGGTTTAGGGGTTAGGGTCGAGATGAAGAAGTCGATGATGTACTGTTGCTTCTCGTCTTGCGATTGCTCTCGTAGGTCCGACTACTGGCAACTAGTGTGCCGGTATTAGTGCGAGTCACTGAGTCACTTTCATGGAACCATCCCGACCACGTCTAGAATCCTGAGGCAAGTTTTACCGTCTGCGGGCAGCTGGATCGAGGATTTTGGTTTTTTGAGCTAAGGACACGGCGGTGACATCCTGCATACTCCCCTATTCGTTAAACCCTGCTCTGAAAGGCCCCAAACCCTAAAGCCTTAAACCCTAAACCCACAAAAAAACCCAACACCCCCAACAGGCGACAGATATGTTTGGGTCTTGGAAGCTGATACTTTGGACCGGCCCTCGAACCCCATGAAAAGCCGGACCCTGACTAGCCCTTAAGGGTACTAGAGGGCTCCTTTAAAGAGTACTATGCGGTTCTAGAATAGGGCCTGCTTTAAAGGACCCCGTTTTGAAACAGTGAAAGCAAACCTTAAAGGAGTCCTCGGCTCCCAGCGGCTTGTGCGGCCAAGGACTGGCTTGATGTCGGCGCCCTCGGAAAGCCTTGCATCATTTGGAGGTGAAGACGACCAGGACCAGTAGCAGGTACTTGAAGTTTCGATTCTGATCGTTATACGCTGGCATATCTGTCCGGGTCGTACCGCTGGCCAAAACCTCGTCTGATCCTAGTTCGACTTCCAGCAGACAACGGTGATGTTCGTGATCCGAAGACACCAGATGCCGCCACCAACTGCGCCACAAGAACGCTGCAGTTCATGATCGATGTGGGTGCCCGGTGGTTCCGAGTGCGGCCGGGACGACGTCCCGGTGCCAGCTGTTGAGGGGCGGCACCCGATGTGGAGTGGCAATGTCGAATCAAGGTCAGCTCGGGAGCTGCCGGAGGTCAACAGCCGGCACCCTTGCCACTCAGATGAGCCCTTTCATCCCCCAAGCTGTCATCCCCCCAAGCCATGTCGAATAGAGTGACCAGGCAGTTTCAATCGCATGTTTTTGCCACCTGCCGTTGCCCTTGGGTTTATAGTGCTGGGTTGCAGAGGCTGGTGTTGCCACTGGCTACGCAAAGTCAAGAGGCAGCACGACGAGGGCAAGGTCATTTGCGTGCCGTCTCAAACGTGTTCAAGCCGGTTGCTCGGCTCAGACTGCCAATGGGCCTCGTAAGCAAGGCATGACAGGGAAGTGAGAAGACTTATCGTGTATTGTCCACGTTCTGTTGCAGTCCCTGGCATCTGAGGAGTGGGTGGATTTGTACGGCGCGGGCTCTTCAGAGCTTTCAGACGCCCGCGCCGAAGAGTTCAACTTGGCCAAGCGCCTCGGCTTCGTGCATCTTGGTGGTTTGGCAGGGTTTCTGCTCGGATCTGTGCGTTCGAACATTCTCAGTGGCATGGCGGCGTAGACTCGTCTGGACCGGCCATAGTCGCGAGTACTCTGTACCATTGTGCCCGAGCCGACTCGAGATCTCAGGGAGACTTTCCGGAATGGCCGGCCCGAAGGATGGGGCCAAGGCACGATTGAGATCAACAGTGTTACTTCTTCCAAAGTTGAGAACTGTACCTTTTTGGGGTTTCCTCATTTTGTAGGAGTAATAGATCAATCTTCCTATTCCTTGGCTGTTGCAGAAGTATAAGGTTGAGTACTCCCGGCAAGCCCCAGTCCATGAGTGGACCAAAAAACCGCTGGGCGAGGGCTGCCGTTGGGAGCGGCAGACCCTGGACAAGTTGCCTTTCCCCGTGTACGCATTTTTTATGCCCTGAACCTAGAACCCCCCCAACTACCCTCTACCCCAAACACTCCCAAATACCCGCAGCACAATCAAGGGCCATAGGGACTCTATTAAAGGGCCCCTTGGGGGGTCCGGGAAGGGGCTGCGGATAGTCTGGGATGCGAGCTCTCCGAAGATGGGCCCAAAGGGCCTTCATCTGGAGCTTCACGCGCCAAGCCCAAGGTTCCTTCTACACCCCGTTTAGGGTTATAGCGACTTATAGGTTTTACAGGATTTATTATAAAGTTTATTCATAATAATGTGGTTTACAGGGTTTCATAAGGTTTATAAATGTTTATAGGGTTTATTGGGATTTTGGGCTTGGGGCGGTGATGGGCCGAGACGCGTGAGGATCTGTTGGCACGCAGCATCTCCAGCAAAGTTCACCCCGTGCGAGGACAACCCGTGTTCGCAACATTCCGCGAATGCTAGGTTCGAAAGTGAGGCCTGTGCTGCAAGGCTTTGGGGGTTTTGCGTGATTGTTTTAGAGGGCTTAAGAGTTTCTTTTGCAATATGCGGTTTCAAAACCTATAAACCCTAAACCCTCAAAAATGGCTCGCTTTGCGGGGTTTAAAACCCTAATGAAGCCCTACAACCCTTTTCAGGCTTCTGGCTCGGGATTTAGAGCGGCGTGTGGGCACCTTTGAGCTCCCGTCCCGTAAAGACAAGGAAGCCCGGGATTCGCATGATCCCCTGTATGGTCCCGATTGAATATCTTCGGCTATAGTCTAGCTGTTCTGTTTCAACTTCGTGTTCATAAGGCGCCTTTTCCAAGGGCAGCTGAAGGAGCTTGTCGTTGCAACTGCCGGGAGGATGGGGCCTTTTTGCGTTGTGCAGTCTGCTTGCCTGTCTGCTACTGCTACTTGTACGTGCAATATGCACACAGACACACATGCTCGTGTATGTACGCACGTAGGCAGTCGTGCATGCCTGCGTGTGTGTGTGTGTGTACATAGACTTTGAGCTCGTGGGATGCGGTCGAAGTTTGTTCCGTGACAGAATTTCTGCGCCGTGTGTTGTGTATTGTATGTTTACCGCTGCAATCCACACATGATAACGCTCAGATTTAAACTCCATGAGCTCTAAACCCTAAAATGTCACCGCAGCGTTTTCGGGTTCGGGCGGGCCGAGTCATTGACGTGGTGCAGAGCATGAAGACAGCCCGATCCTCAGTGAGTTGACGTCACGAGCTCAGGGCTTTCAGGCGCCATGGCTTCGGGTTTTGAAATTTCCGGGGCCCAAAAGTATGTAGAATAATAGCCCTTTTATCGGTTTTGGGCCATTATTTTGCCTACTTTTGAGGGTCTAGGTAAGGGTTTACGGATTATGAATTAGGGGTTTGGGGCTTAAGAATTACACCTGGGTTTGGGGTTTAGGGACAGGATGAGTGTTGTTTTCGCGAACGACGATAACAGCTGTCAGTTGAGCTCGAATTTTGCCCTGTCCTTCTCCGTAAACCCCTGTAGCCCTGTACTGTACACTCAAAAGCCTTGTATTCTAAACCGCACCCTAGAGTAGACATTCCAAACCGAGACCCTAATATCAACAAGATGCAACTAGAAAGAGGATCTCCCGTTCAAAAGCCCTACAACTCCCCCTCCCTCACTCCTCCGCCGCAGATGCTGCACCCTGCAACTCTCAAACCCCAAACCCTAGATTTCTGCAGAACCCTAAAACCTAAACCCTAAATCCTGAACCCTACTCCTTGAACCCTAAACCCCTAAACCCCTGAACCCCTAAACCCTAAACCCTAAACCCCTAAACCCCTGAACCCCTAAACCCTAAACCCTAAACCCCTAAACCTGGAACCCTGAACCCTAAGCTCCCAGGTAGGCTCGGCACGGGGTGCCCCCGTGAGGGCCATGGCAGGTCCTCCAAGTTCGGCCCTCAGAGACAGTTCGGGGTTCAGGACTGGTTTAGGGTTCAGGGCCTACGTTTAGGGCATTGGGTTTGGGGTTTGGGGCAAGTTAGGGTTTAGAGCATCGGGCTGGGGGTTCAAGCATATAGGGTTTAGGGTTAAGGGTCAAGGATTTAGGCCTAAATACCAGTGCTGCTCGCTGTTTCTACGGGGTTTCATTAATCTAGAAGCATATAACTAATTACTCTCACCACCCAATGGTCTCTTCTACTGATTGAGGTGTGTACTGTAGGGTTTTTGTAGTGGGGTCCTGTAAGGCCGTGGTGGAAGGCTTGGTTCGGGGTAAGCCGAAGGTTTGGATTTGCGGATTGTGGTACTAGTGCGACTTGCGCATATTCCATTGTTCTGCACCATACTAGTTAGACTGTTGTTTAAATTTTGGGGCATGCTATACTAGTGTCATCATAGTAAGGAGCCTCTATAGGCAGTTTTTGCAATGCATCCGTTGCGAACCATGGCAAACTTGCGTGCAGGACTCGTGTAGGTGCCTCAGTATCGATAGCAGGAATAGACAGTCGTTGCTGATGCTTCTGCGTTTCTTAGTCCAGCTAATTTGTGTCCATGAAGACTCACACTGCATGCCTGCAAACCAGGTCAGCACCTATCCCAGTGCTTGGTGTTGGTTAGCTTTTGTGCGTTGTAGGCGTGCCTGTGAACGCTGAAGCAGTGCGCCAAGCCCCGTCCAGGCCCGGTACATTCCAAGCGCCAGGACCAGACCCGCTGCTGACACAGTCGGGATGTGGTTCAGGCAGTCATATGGTGGTTGCAGTTCGAGTAACAACCCCTATAAACCATTAAAGCTGTGAACCCCTAAACGCCAAACCCTGAAGCGGTCTTGGTGCTCCCGGTAACTTGCCCCAAGGTCCGAAACCCCGTGATTTCGCGTGATTTCGAACCTTAGAATTGAATACCTCGCAATGCAACACAGCATCTAGTTCTTAACTAATGTAGGGACCGAAATAAAAAGAAGCGAGTCGTGGGGGATCTCGGTCTCGTAGTATATTGAGTATACTCTTGCCATGTCCGACCTCTTTGTTATGCCAATAATCTTAGCAAGAGCGGACGACTGCCGCAGACACGTGACGCCGCTAAACCCTAAACCAGAGGGCATGAAACCCTAAACCCTGAGGTATTAGTTCGTACGGCCCGACATCCTGAGACCTCGATGTGCAGAGTTTCAGACCAAAATCAACGGTCTCTTGGGTTAAAGACTCGAGCTAAGGGTCTAGAGGGTTTATAAGACTTGAATTAATAAGGCTTCCGGAGATAATAAGCCCCTAAACTCCCAAACCTGAACCCCAAACCTCAAACCATGCCACCCAAACCCCTAGACCATATTCCGAGAAGGAGGGCGCAATTTCCAGGCGACCAGGAGCACCCGGAGCCAGAGGGGACCTCGGTTTAGGGTTCGGGGGGTTTTGCAGTGTACAGTATCAGTTTGCGGTTCAGGGTTGAGGGTTTTAGCTAAAGTTAAGTACTATGGTAACAGGGTAGGTAGTGGCTACCCTTCTCGAGGATCGACCCCACTGTAGCCTTTTGTCCATGCGACCATACCACATTATTGTATGTCAGTGGGTTATCATATATGCATATGTAAGTACGTATGAACGCATATTTGTTTGCCTATGCATACATACTATTACAGTATGATATAGTAGTAGTGGAACGTATAGTACTGTTACTATGTTGCTAAATCACTTTGTTCATCTCAGGTTTTCTGTGATGTGTACAAACAGCATTCCAGGTCTAGGTTCTCGACAACAAAGCGTTCGAGCTTCTAGTTGAAAGATGACGGTCAGCAGCAAGCAGTTCTGAAGTGGGCATTTCACCTTAGCCGCTCGAGTTCTGGTACGTACATGTTGTCTCAAGTATAAGTTTACAACCTGCTTACTGGTTCCCTTACTGCTTCAGGCAAGCCCTTTGAACAACGCCCAACAACACCCGCTAGTGCCGCTTTGTCGCGAAACCTGGCAAGAGGTGGGCAAAGCTTGGGAGCTTGGGCGAACCCTCAGCGCCGCAAGCTGCAAGAGCATCCGTCATAAAATAGACCCCCCGCCCCCACAATAGTATCGGTAATTATTATGCCCCTATAGTATGCCCCTGGTTGTGGAGCGACCAGGAAGCCCCGAAAAGTCGAGTTGTGCTGACTGTCGAAGGGCTAGAGCCTCGTCGGAACTGTCAATGTGCCCATCATCAACAGTATTGCAATTTTCAAACTTGGGGGGGGTCATCAGCGAAAACCTTGATCATGCACCTTAAACCCTCGGTTACCTCAAAAAACCCTAGTATCTCAAGCCACCATCTTGATCGAGGCCCGTCAATGTCACGCGTTAGCTCCAATGGTGAGGTTGGCAAGGCCTTGTGTTGTTGCTGGATGTTAGGTGTTTCCGGGTCAATGCAGGAGTCTGAGTATTTTGGAAAGCCTTCAGGAGTGCTAGAAGGGTTATCATGGCTACTGCAAGACTTACACTTGCTGTACAGGTTCTGTATGGGCTGCGACTACAGGCCTTGATTCTGCTAAAGTCGCTTCAGGTTCCAGGGCTCCATGCATTAACATGTTTCGTAAGATGTGCAGCGAAAGTAGTTCGCTAATTTTCACGATTGAACACTGCAGTACTTCGCAACAAGTACAGGTAGCAGTAGCAGTAGGAGGAGTCGTCTTCGTCGTGGTTGTCGTTATTGTCGTACTCGGCTGGCATCTTCATGGCTAAGCGAGCAAGTGCTGTCCAAGCCGGAACCCCCAAACCCTCAACCCCACGACCTTCAGAAAAGTGCCTTGGTCCCCAGATCCACAAAAGGGATTCTACCCCTGCGGAGGCAATCCCGCGAGACATCCTGAACCGTAAACCGCTTATAGGGTTTAGGAGTCCAGTAGCAAAAGGGGTTCAGGGTTTAGGGAGCCGCAGCACTCCTGAACATTTAGGCCGTAAGTCCCAGACTTTACAGCCCTATAAAGCTCAGGGTGCCTGCATAAATGCCTATAGAACGTTAAAACCATGTTTTCATTCCTAGGTAAAAGTTTGGGATTAAGGGTTCTCTAATCTATCCTTAGCCCTGAAAGGAGTTAACTGGAG